GAAGCCAATGTAGAACCATGAGAGCCTCCCACATCCCTGGCTCTGTGCATGGCAATGCTCACAGTCACCTGGGAATCCATGGTCGTGTCATATGCCTCTTACAGATGAGAACACTGAGACTCGGGGTGTACTTGAGTGCTGGGAGGGGCCTCTCGCCCACGTCCCAGTTGCCTGGTTTCAAAACTAGGGATGCAACCCCATATCCTACCAGCCATAGAAGATTGCCGTGAGCAGCAGGGACACAGTGGCTTTGTTTGGAAAGTGTGTGGCCTGGAAATCATGGTGACAGGTGGTGTGTTAGTCACTTTCCCATCGCTGGAATAAAATAACCAACACTCACAACTTAAAATAGGAGAGGTTTATTTTGGCTCATGCATTCAGTCCGTGGTCTGCTGGCTCCAAGGCAGAAATGGCAAGGTGGTAAAGCAAGGCAGAGGACAGCTGCTCATCCCACGGCGGCCAGGAAGCAGAACAAGAAGGGAAGAGCTGGGGACAAGGATATGCCCTCCCAGGTCACGTCCCCAGGGACTGCCTCCAACCAGGCCCCACCTCCTAACAGCACATTCAGCCACGAACTCATCAATGGACAAATCCACTGAGGCGTTATAGAGCCTGCATGAGCCAGTCCCCTTCCACACCCATGAAGATTTGGGGGGACATTTTAGATCCAAACCATAACAGGTAGACAGCCACCTGCCAGGGTCCTGGGCCACAGGAGGCTTTCCAGTGAGCAAAGGACACAAAACAGAGCTGCACACAAAACCCAGAGGAGCACAGACCACCTCCAATGCTGAGGAAGGCTGGGGATAACCGGAAGCTACTGGCCTAGAACTCTGCTTTTCAACCAGGCCCCCAGAAGAGGAAGAGACAGGAAGGGATGGGGAAAAGACAGGAAGATGGGCTTATGGCCACAGGAAAGTGAGTTTCCCATGTGTTGCTCCCTTTTCATAGATGTCCCCACTGGATAGGACAGGATCACTCCTGCCTCTGTCCTATCCTGCTTACTTAACAGGGTGGGGGAGACACAGCTACCTGGCAAACCTGAGATTTCACACACAGTGATGCCTCATCCTAGGTAAGTGGTAACGCTGTTCTGGTCACACCTAGGTGCACATGGCACACATGGCAGGTGCCAGGACAGGGAAAAGGACAAATGACTGAGGTTTGGAAACCATGGCACTACATCAGACCCCCAAACATCACTGTCCCTGGAGGTGGCTGACACCCCAACCACAGACCTGCCTGATTCAGGTCACATGCATGCAGGATGCCCATGGAAACGATAAACAATGAGTGCTTTCTTCATATACATATGCCCCGTGCAGTATTTGGTACATGCATATATTTTTGAAGTGTTTGCTGTTTATCTGAAATATAGGTGTCACTGGGCATCCTGTATCTTATCTGGCAACCTCCCCCTGGCCGCAGAGATGCTTGGGCATTGAGTTGTTCCCTTTTGTCCCCTCCTGACTGGCCTGGACCACGGAGAAAGGCAGGCACGCAGAAGCATGCCCCTTCACATCTGCTCTGACATGAGCTTCTTTAATTAAACTGCCGGGATGAAATAAAGTGTGTTAAAGGGAAGATTAAAATTGATTCCCTTAGCTCAACAAAAGCCTCAGCTATGAAGGGGGCTACTTAAGGAAACAAAGCACTTGGGCAGAAGAGAAGCAGCCTTGGGTCCCAGCAGTGCAGCAGGCAGTAGCCAGAGGCCTGTGCCTGGCAGAGCACCAGGTGGAGCGGCTACATCCACAGCAGGAGGCAGCTCAGTGGCCTGGGTGCAGGTGGGGCTGGCCGGAAGTGAATTTCTCCTCCACTCTCAAGAAGCCTGGAGGGCCTGGGAAAGCTCTCTTTCCCTGCAGCTCTGCTTCTGAGCTTCAGAGAGGGCTGCATGGAGAGAGATGTAAGGAGCAGGCAAGACAGACAATGACAAAATATCTCAAGCACTTTTCTTTCTGTGTGTGTGGGGGGGGTGCTGGGATGGAACCCAGGGCCCTCACATGCTAGCAAGTGCTCGACCCTTCAGCCACATCCCCATCCCTCATCCCCCAAGGCCTTTACAAGGAGCTGCCTGAAGTTCTTAGGCACCCAAGCCTCTCTCCACCGGGTTGCTCAGAAACACAGAAAGGGGCAAAGGTAAAGTGTGTGGCATTGAGACTTGCTGATAACTAGAAATCTGGAGGACAATCTTGGGCTAGGAACTCCTTTGACATCTGAGAAGAGTGATCCCCAAAAGCTATTGGGGGACTTCTGGGGTCACATGGCATGGAAGTAGCAGAGCCAGGATTTGAACCCAGGTCTGCTAGTGTTTGAAACCCTTGTCCACAGTGCTTTGCTGCTTCTTGGACTGGGAAGCTCACGGGAGGCTTTTAAGAAAACTTTTGATGAAATTCATCGGGCGCCATGCCTGTGGCCAGTTTGGTTGTCGGTGCACAGTGAGAGGGCAGCTCAGGCACCTAGGAGCAGCGGGTAGGGACCCAGGAGTGGGCCCACAGGGTGGAGGATGGGAAGACTGGATGGGACTTGATGAAGCAGCTACTCTGAGAACTAAAGACAGAGTTGGTGGTGGGGCGGACTTTTAGGTCTGGCTGCTGCAGAAGCGCTGGGGAAGGGTGGCAGGGTGGGTGGCATAAGCTGGATTTGAAGTGACACCGTGCGGGCCCCTGACAGAGCTCCTAGCAGCAGGCTAGTAGTAGAAAGCAGGTAGATATTGGGGCCAATTTGTCCTGGGTTTGTGTCCCATAGCACATCTTCATTCACTAGCTCTGTGACCCCAAACTACAGGTTGAACATCTCTAATCTGAAAATCTAAAATGCTCTGAAATCCAATATTTTTCTTTTCTTTTTTTTTGCAGTATTTAGGACTGAACCTATGGCCTTTACACTGAGCTACATCCCCAGCGCCCCCCCCTTTATTTTTGAGACAAGGTCTCACTAGGTTGCCTGAGCTGGGCTTGAACTTGCAATCCTCCTGTCTCAGCTTCCTAGAGTGCTGGGATTACAAGTGTGCACCACCACATCTGGCTTGAAACCCAAAACTTTTTGAATGCTGATGTGATGCTCAAAAGATTTCAGATTTCAGACCATTTCAAATTTCAGATTTTCTAATTAGGGATGCTCAATAGGTACAGTGTATGCAAATGGCGCAAAGTCTGAAAAGCACTGACATCTGAAACGCTTCTGATCCCAGGCATTTTGCATGAGGGATCCTCGGCCTGTATTGCTTATCCTCAGGGAAGCTCTGTGTTCTCAGGAGTGAAGTGGAGAGCAGTAGCACCTCCTCCCCAGATGCTGGGGACATGTAGTTAGGAGAAGCATGTAAAGGGACAGACAAGCCTGGTGTCACCTGATTGTCCTGCTGGGGTAGGGCAGAGACAGGTCTGAGGTAGGAATGGGTGGGAATGAGTGTCCTTTCCACTCCCTGGGTGATCTTCCACTGAATTCCCACAGTGTGGGGGCCCTGGGGACACAGTGTGGAGATGCTGATTGGAAAATCCATTTATGGCATCAGAGTGAGCCCATTTGTGCCTCGAGACCAACGCAGAGCCTGAACAGGTCCAGCACAGCATCTGGCGCAGCACTCGGCACAAGGCAGGTGTGGTGATGCTGGTGGCTGCTCAGCATGCAGTGTAGACGGTCCACACTGCCTGGATGGTGGAGGCAAAGAGGCAGTGTGCCACCCCTGAGCCCACCAGAGCCAGGGTAGAGGGGGAAAGGTCATGTCTGAATTTGTAAGCACTTTCTGTCCTGAAAACTCCACACTGCACATGATTGCTCAGGAAGACAGAGAGCCGGAACCAGGGTCCCATCTTCTTCCCTCCCAGTCCTGTTTGTCTCAGCTTTTTCCAAGGGTGGCTTTGAAAATGCTGGTAAAACCCATGAACATCAATCATGTGCTGTCAGCAGGCTGGGGAGGAGAAAAGCAGCCAAGAATAACAGGATGGCATTACCAGGCTGCCCTTCATGCTGGGAGCTGGGGCCCCGGGCAACCCCTTCCGACCCACGGGCCTCAGTTTCCCTACTGGGATAAGGCACGATGTCATCATTCTGCAGGTCCCTCTGGTCTCTGTTGCTTATATTTATCACGGATTTATTTTTATCAGAAGACTAGTTTTTTTTAGTCCTTTCATTAAAAATGTGCTTGTATGTTTGTATTTTTTTTTAATTACAAAATAAAACTGAGGTTGTAAGAACCCAAGCAGTATGTATTGCTTCAGAGGGAGGCCAGTAGTCTCATTTATTGCTTTTTGTCTTCAGTAAATTAAAACATTGCCTGGCATTTTAAGGTGTGATAAGAACTCAGCCATTAAGAAGTAAGAAATCGTGTCACTTGCAGGAAAATGGATAGAACTCAGGACCGTCATGCTAGGCAAACTAAGCCAGGCTCAGAAGGTTAAATATCACATGTGTTCTCTCATATGAAAGACCTGAAATATAAATAAATGAATGAGAGATGACAGGAAACTAGAAGGTCAACTCTCGGAGCAGGGAAAGGGGATTAGGAAGAGGAGGATAGGGGCAGGAGGGTCAGGGGATTGAAAATGAGCAAGATCTGTTATATGGAGGGATAATTCCCCCAAGATGAATGTTACTATTCTGTATTCCAAACATCCATTAATAATTTTTTTAACAAAGAAAGTATGCTTGAGGTAAAAACTCTCAGCAATGTAGAGGTATATAAGGAAGATAATGGAGTCTCCCTTAATACCTCCCCGTCATCTTACCCCTAAATTCACCCCTCACCCTGATCTCTGAGATAGCTTGTTTCTAGATATGCGCACTTACGGGAATGTCGTGCATGGGTTTGGGATGGAGTTAGAAGCAAGCTCTGCCACTGCCTTGCTGTGTGGCCCTCGGGCATCCGCATGACCTCTCTGGGCCTCCATTACCTCCTTGGCAGGCCGTTGGAAGGAGGCTTAGGCCCGGGGTGTGAAGCCCCCGCGGTGTGAGTTAGGGTCCTTTGAACAGCCCGGGTAACTGCTGTGCCTGGGTCTCCGCAGGTCGGGGACCAGATTCTGGAGGCGAACGGGCGGCACTTTCTCAACATCCTGCACGACGAGGCCGTAAAGCTGCTCAAGTCGTCTCGGCACCTCATCCTGACCGTGAAAGACGTGGGGCGGCTGCCGCACGCACGCACTACCGTGGACGAGACCAAATGGATCGCCAGTTCCCGGATCGCGGACGGCGCTGCGGGCTCTCCAGGGTCTGTGCATGCAGCTCGGGGACCCCGGGGCAGGTTCTGCGAGCCAGGCGGCGGGATCCCACCAACACCAACCTGGGTCCCTCCAGTCCGAGGGCATGACCTTGGTCCTCCCTCTGCTCTGTGGCCTCATTGCCCGCAGAAAGCTGAGATGTATAGCCGGACCCCCAGTCCTTGCTGTCAGGCAAATCACAATGCATTCTTGGGTGCTTTATCTGAAAAGTGGGACCATAACTCTGTCTCCACCCCAGCCCTGTCGATGCCGACCCCTGAGGTTAATTTGAGTGAAAGAGCCTTGGACGTCTTAAAACATGGTACTCCTGTTGCCAGGTGACTGCCTGCTTGCTGATCATGTGCTTTGTCACCTCTGGTCTTCCGGTCTCCGCCTGGTATCTGGCGGCTCCCTGCCACATAACAGCCCCCACCCCAGCATCTTCTTTCTCTTTCCTTCCTCCCTTCTTTTCTGTCACTATACAGTGTTATAAATTCTTTGAAATTAGTTTCCATCCTTTAAAAAGACACCAGGTTTCCTGTACCAAACTGGATTTCCGGGTATTTTTTTTTAAAGCAGGAAGTCTGGCTGCCTGAGCCTACATTTTTTCATGACAACATGGGCCGCCGAGGTGATGGAGTCCCCCTCAAGTGGTCCCTGAGGACCTCAGTGCATTCTTGTCCCACCCTCCCCAGGCCTGGGGAACCCTGAGGTGCATGGCAGAGGGCGCCTTCTCTCTCTGCTCCGAGTGCTCTCCTAAGTGCTGTTGCTCCTGGTCCTGTAGGGTTGGAAACAAGACAGCTAGCACCGCTCATGGTATTGGAATCGCTGCCCACATTGTCCTTGGGGAGGCTGGAAGCCACCTGTCTGCCCAGGGGCCCCACTGACCCTTTCCTGGCTCGGCCACTCCCTCTACTGCAGGGCCACTACCTGTGCCTGAAGAGCTTGTCTCTCTCCACAGGTTTTCGGGGGATCTCACCACAGAAGGGACAAACAAGGTAAGGGCTTCCTCATCGGTGGGGTGTCGTCAGCTTCTTCATAGCTCCCAGCTTAGGTCCCAGGCTGGGCATCATGCTGAGCGTGTTTCAGCCGGGCAGGTCCGCGCCCCTCAAGATTCCTGCCAGGTTCCTGCCATGGTGCCCTCTCCAGGGCTGAGGGCAGCAAACAGAACCGACCAGGTCCCTGCCCCGTGGAGGTCACAGCCCATGAAAGAGACATCTAAAACCCAAGCACGCCTTCCAACAGATACTGTACCTAGGTAGACAAGATGCCTGGTGCCATCAAGGCAAGGTGTTGGGGACTGTGGGAGAGAGAATGAGAGAGCAGACAGCAAACACAGAAGGCTCAGGAGGGCAGAGGTGGAGTGTGACCAGATGGAGTGGCACATGTTAGGGCCCCGAGTCAGGGAGAGGGCTTGGCTTATTGGAGGAGCTGAAGAAAAGCGAGTGTACGGGGAGCTGGGTGTAACATGGCAACAGGCAGGATGCTCAGCTCTCACAGGCTTTGTGGGCCACCAGAAGAAGTCTGGCTTCTAACTCGGATAATGGATGCCATTAAAAGCCTTTTAAACAGGGCCCACATGAGGGGCTTTTTACAAAAGCATTTTAGTAGCAGGCCAGGGACCTGGAGGGGACACTGAATGGCATTTTAGACTCAGCTGGTGACAGGGGAAGCTATGGAGGGCAGGAGTTGGGTACGTGCAGATCTGAATCATGGTTTGGAAGTACAGGAGCTGATGTCATTCCCAGTGTACCACGGGAGATAGCGAAACCTAGGGAATAAATGGGACCCTGGTGATAGTGCTGGCCTCTGAATGGATGAGGGAACCAGAGGTGACATGAAAGTGGTGTGTGTAGCCCAGCACAGTAGGATTGAAAGTTTGAGCCCAATCTGAGCAACTTAGCAAGATTCTGTCTCAAAACAAAAAAATTTAAAAAGGGCTGGGGACATAGCTCAGTATGAAAGCCCTAAGTTCAATCCTCAGAACTAAGAAAAGAAAAGAGCACTATGTGAGTGTTTTGCAGCTAGATGAGGCTGAATATGGGGAAGTGGGTCGTGCAGAGACCCCTGAGGGCTTTCAGAAACTGGCCCCTCCCTCTGTGGTTGCCTCCACCTGGCCAGGTCCCTGACTCCGATCAGCTCAGCATCCCCAGGCCTCTGTGTTCCTGTCTTTCAGCTGGGATTTTACAAGGGCCCTGCTGGCTCCCAGGTGACCCTGAGCAGCCTGGGGAACCAGACGCGTGTGCTGCTGGAGGAGCAGGCCCGGCACGTGCTGAACCGGCAGGAGCGTGCTACCATGGCCTACTACCTGGACCAATACCGTGGCAGCAGCATCTCCGTGGAGGCCCTCGCCATCGCCCTGTTCGAGCTCCTCAACACCCACGCCAAGGTGACCTGTACTGAGCACCCCCTGGGGGTCAGCCAAACCGAGCCCTGGGGAACGCTGGGAACCGTGGTGTCCCCACCTCCAACCTGAAGGCAACCAGCCCTGGGGAAAACAGACAAAGGCCCGTGATTGGCCCCAGTGCTGAGTGCACATTTGGAATCACCTGAATTGCTTTCGAAAAGCAGTGCCCAAGTGAACCCCGCAGCAGTCAGTCATTGTCATGAGCCCTGGGTGACTGTGCTGGGCCACTAGCTCTGAGACCTAGCTCCAGTGGAAGTCTGAGGAAGGAGTGGTCCAGTCCACCAGGAGGGTACACATTTGGAAAGACGAGAGGAAGCATGATTGGGAGAGAAATAAGACTTGGGGGTGGAAGTCACAGCCACGGGCTTCGAAGCGTAAAACACCATGGTGTCTTCAGAGACTGACAGTCCTGTGTGCATGTGGAGAGGGAGGAGGTGATGGGGCAGGAGGGAGATAATGCTGGCCTAGTGTCCAGGTGCAGGTGTTTGGACTTTCTCCTGAGGGCACTGGGGAGCCATAGTGGGTTGAGGAGTGAAAGTCAAGTTTGCATGCAGGTGATTTGGGAGTATTAGGGTTACTGGGCCCGCCTGTTGGAAGAGTCCCCCGCTGAGTGTCCTGCTTGTCCCCATCTCCAGTTCTCGCTCCTCTCTGAAGTGAGAGGCACCATCTCCCCCCAAGACCTGGACTGCTTCGACCACCTGGTGCTGAGACGAGAGATTGAGTCCATGAAGGCAAGGCAGCCGCCAGGCGCTGGGGCAGGGGACACCTACTCCATGGTTTCCTACAGCGACACGGGCTCATCTACTGGAAGCCACGGCACCTCCACCACTGTCAGCTCGGCCAGGGTGAGCCGCTCCTGCTCTGTCTCTGGCTCCCTGGCTTGAAGGTCAGGGGCAGAGTTAACACAGGAGCTTTGGAGTGAGACGGGTCAGGGGCCGGATCCCAGCCCCATCCTTCCCAGCTCCTCCCTTGCCTCTCTGCACCTAGGTCTCTGCATCTGTAGTCGCCTAATTGCTGAGTGCCTACTGCATGCGAGGCAGGCAGCAGTCTAGGAGTTGGCTGGTGTGTGTGTGGGGTGGACAAATACGTAATTACGATCCCTTCGGGGATCAAATGAAAGACACAGTGAAGTCTGGCACCACGATGTCTGACTCGGGCAGTCCCTTAATCGCTGGCAGTGGGCACGGCATTTGGACTGTGACTCTGGCTTTCCCCAAGAAGCCACCCTCTGGCCCCTGGAGCCTCGACCCGGCTTGACTTTCCCACAGATTCACCAGCCCCCAAACAGCATCTGGTCCAGCCAGGGGTACTTCTACCTCCGGGATGCTCAGAGCCAGATTCCCCTCAGGAGGCTCTGCAGGAAGGGGCAGGAGCAGAGCTCTCCTTATTCATCTGGTCACTGGCGTCTTCTCGAGGGGAGGAGTGAGGCTGGAAGCCAGGAGCCAGCGTGATTCCGCTGTCTCCTCCACACACCGTTCTTGCCTTTGCATGTCCAGCCCCACTCTTCCGTGGAAGGGGAGGGGGAAGCAGTGCTTCTTAACCACTGTGGCTCCCCTGTGCTGGACTGGCACTCTGAATGGGGAGCTTGGTCCGGGGGATCTCAGCACCTGCTAAGTGGGGTGCAGTGTGTCCAGGGTTGTGGACCAGGTGGACACTGGGTGTAGGTGGGCATGCACCTTCTATCTTTCAGACGCAACTTCCAGTGTGGCCTGAACTTAGCTCTGGGGCTCTGGGTTTCTGGGGATCTTCTCCTCCTGTACCCCTCTTTCCCATCCCTTGTTAGCTTTATCTCCAAGAGTCCTCCTCCCTTCTGGGATGACCCAGAAGCTGCCATGAGCAGACCCTCTACAGCTCTGGGCAGGCTGCAATGGAGGCTGGTTCACATTTCCAGAAGAGCAGATCACTTCCAGGCAGGGAGAGGCCACTCTTCCCGCTTCCATATGCAAGTCAGGCTCTGATCATCGCCTGACTGTGGGCTGAGTGGTAAGCTGGATTCTGACTGCCAGCCTCCACCTGCTGGGCCCTTTGCCTCTGGGTTCAACTTTGGCTGAGATTAGCCTGGAGAATGTCCACGGGCAGCTTCAGGAGCCATGACCCAGTGTGCTAAAACCTGGCCAACTGCAGGCTGTGGTTCTGGGGTGGTCCCTTCGGAATCAGGAATCAGGAACCAGAACTCCAAGGGGCAGAGTAGAGGTGTCTCCTCCTCTGAGAGGCCGATCTGGGATTAAGCCCTGGCCTCCCTGGGCCTCAGTTTCCCCCGGATAAATGGCCTGAGGTTCTGCTGGCTCCAGCTGCAGCAGCCCAGGGCCCTGGGACAGGTCAGACTGGAGGACAGGAGGGAGCATAGTGACCACTCTGCTCAGAAAGACCCCTGTAGGGTCAGAACCCCCCGCCCCAGTTCACCACTGGCCCACAGTGACCTTGTCCCAGCCAGGAGTGTCTCCCCCTCCCGAGGAACACTTCCTCTGGATCCTCCAGGCCCCTGCTGTGGCAGGTGTGACCCCAGGCTGCCAGAGGGGTCTCGATGCAGATGAGAGCACCTGAGGATGGCAGAGCTCAGGCCACACGATGGTTTCAAGCAGGGAGGTTTTGAGGGCAGATGGAAAGGGTGGTCCTAAAGCCCTCTCTCATTCTGTGGGATGGGACCACTCTGAGGGACCGTTTGTATGAGACTGACACACTAGGAAGCTCACGTGTGTCGGGATTAGGAACACCTGGGCCAGGGTGAGCTCCAGGCCTGGGGCAGGGGTTTCTAGAGAAAGCCACGCAGGTGGAGAGGCAGCCGCAAAGTCACCTCACCTCTCAGTGCCTCAGTTTCCTCCCGTGCAAAGGAGTCGTGACACCATGTCCCCAGCCTCTTGGGAAGTTCAAGAATGCCCATCGGCCTGGGACCAGAGCCCACCAGTGGCAGCGTTCTGGGGCCGTCTCCTCCCGGCCTAGGGTAGGGAAGCCTTGGTTCTTTCTGTCCACCCCATCCTTGCTGGGAAAGCACCTGGAGCATCATGCCCAGGGCCTCGAGCACACTTGTAGGCTCTGGGAAGGATGGGCTGAGGGAAGGCCTCTTTCCTGTGACCTTCGGCCCACCCTGAGTGCCAGACTGTAGATCCTCTGGCAGCACAGGGCTCGGCCCCCCTGGCCTCCCTGAAGTTGCAGCCTCCCCTGCCCCAGCCTCCCGGGCAGGCAGGGCACTGCTTGAGGCTCCGCCTGTCATGAGCATGTGTGACCTTGGACGTGGCGCTTGCCTGTTCCCAGCCTGTTTGGGGCCTTCCGTGGTCCTCTCCGTCCTTCATGCCTGTCCAGAGCAGTCAGGATGGCTTGAAGAGGAGTTGGAGCCTCCTGTTTGTTTTGTACCAGTGTGGCTGTGTGTGTGTGCATTTAGAGAGGGGCTGTTGCTGTCGCCACCTCATCCCCTCGTGTTTATTTGATGTATTTTTCTTTTTGCCTTTTCCCACCCCCACATGCCACCCCCAGGAGCGGCTGCTGTGGCTTATAGACCTGATGGAGGTACCGTCCTTTCTGCAGGGTGGGGGACTGTGTGTGCCCGGGGACCCCTTAGGCAGGGCAGAGCCAGAGGCCGTAGCCCTCCCTGCCACCCCTCACGTCCACACCTGTCCCTGGTGGGAACTGGGTTTTCTTCCCGGTGCTCACTGTCAGCCAGTTCCTCAGGTGTTCTCAGGCTCTGGGGCGAGGAACCCCACTGTTCAAATCCCAGCTCTGCTCCTTCCTTGCTGTGTGATCTCAAGAAGTGGCTTCCCCTCTCTGAGCTCAGCTTTAGGATCTGTAAAAGTGAGGAGATCATTTCCATGCCCTGCTCCCGAGAGCCTCCTCAGGCTTTGCACAGACCACACGTTCTGTCTGTTGGGCCTGCTGTCCTTCCCGCTTCCTTCTCCTGTGTGCCCATCACCCCATATCTCAGATGCCACTTCCTCCAGGAAGGCTTCCCCGACCTTCTCAAGAGGCGACCTCCAACCCCTGGCTCCTCCGTGGGCCAGGCTTGCCTCTGTCATGGCTTCTTGTCTCAGTGAGTTCTCGTCATCTCTATAGGGTGGTGCAGTCACTCCCGGACCACCAGCTGCTCAAAGAAGCATCCATGTCTGCATCTCCCGTCCTTCGTGACCAGTACAGAGCCTGGTGTCCTAATGCTTTTCAGCCATCTCTTCTGTGGCCCTCCCAGGAGCTACAGGCAGCCAGTTCTGCTGCAGCCTCCATTTTACAGAGAAGGAAACTAAAGCTCAGGGAGGACAAGTAACTCGACTAAGGTCACACAGCAAGGGAGAGGTGGAGCCAAGATTGGGAACCCAGCCTGGTGGCCTCTGAGTGGTGCTGTGAGCCCTGCTGCCTGCTGTGGTTCTTCCTTGTTGGGCATCACCTAGCCGTCCATCTGTCTGTCTTGTCATCTGTCGCCTCCCTTCCTCTTCCTCTTCTTTCCCTTCTGTTACAAATGGTGTGTGAGTCCTGGACATGTGCTAGGTGCTGGGATACAGAGGGCAACAAGCAAAGTGGAACTCAGAAAGGAGCAGGAATGGCAGGCAAGAGAGCTTCCAGGAATGCAGCCCATGGTAGCCTCTGCAGGCACTGGGTCCTCCTGTACCTGGGCAGTGACACTGGTGTCTCCCAGGGCCCCTCCAACTGCCACCCCCACACCCTGTACTCCCAGGGCACCTGCTCATGGGGCCACAGCACAGATGCCCCCCCCCCCAGGAGCCCCTCCTGCAGCTCACCTGGCCTTGGGAGTCCAGAGCCTCCTGTCCTGGTCTGCTCTGTCCCACAGCACAGTATATACCCTCAATAAAGCCTCCCACCTTGCCTCAGTCTCCCCATCTGCACAACCAAGGCAAGTCCCAGGATTCCTTCAATTCCGAGTCTTCTCTGTGTCGAAAGGTGCTGGAAAATATTTAGGGTGGGACAGCAAAGAATGGCAGCTGTGCCCTGTGAACTCTGTCCATGTGAACCAGGGCTGCAGCATTCCCCCAAGGAGAGAAAGAGGCAGAAAGGACACTCATTTCCCACTGAGTGCCAGGTGCTGGTCTGCAGCCCTACCAAATCTTTCTGAGCTTGGGCTGCCATAATGCCAAGTAACAAACAGCCCCAAGTCTCAGCAGATCACAGCCGAACACCTTGCTTTCTGATGACCCAGGTCCCTTTCCTCTTATCTCACTCGGGTTCCCTGTCTCCACTAAAGCACTCACCACCTGGTTTTACCTTCAACCTCAGTTTCTCTCTGCGCTAATGAGGGAGAGCCTGTGGGCTACAAGAGGAAGTATCGGTTTCCTGTCTGCATCCTCGGTGCTGGCCCTGTGCCTGGCACCCAGAGGAGCCCAGGAAATGTCGAAGAGAAACTAAATTGAAGCCACACCCCCAGGCACCTGCAGGGTTATCTTCAACATTCCCCTCTTATGTCAGAGAATAGACCCTTTGCTCTGCCATTCAGATGCACAGGTGGCATCAGGCACCCAGCTCCAGTGACCCAGATGCCCATATGTTGCTCCAGATGGAACCAGTTTCCATTTAGCCCCAGTTTCTTGGCTCTGTGCTGTGATCAGTCCCAGGTTCAACGTGACTCGCTCTGCAGCCATGTCCCCTCAGTGCAGAGGTAGTCAGTCAGAGGAAATCTAATGCCCCCGCAGACAGACCACGCTTGCTGTCCATTGTCTAACTGAGAGTCAGCCTTGAGCATTTTTGGCTGCCTTCGAGCAATTTCATTTTCCCCCATAAAGATGTTGGCTGGGAGAGCAGAGTGAGAAAAGGCTGGAGGAGTTTCTGGAATTCTTCATCTAGTACAAGCGGACCAGTGACAGAGGGGCTTCGCCACACGGGCTTTGGAGTTTAACCAACTGGGTTTGGCTCCAGACCAGTAGCTGGGTCACCTTGGGCAGGTGACGTGAGCCTTCTGAACCTCAGTTTCTGTATCTGTGTGTAGGCCGGGGAGACCAGGTGTCTGAGTTGTTCAGCAAGAGCAGGTGGATGTGCAGGTGTGAACCATGCACAATTGTGTTGCATGTCTAAAGCCAGGGGGCCACTTCAGAGGGCTGGAAAGGAAAAGGAGTCCAAAGAGCAGCTAAGATTGGCCCTGGTGCTGACCTTTCCCACCCTGACTCGAGAGCTGCTGCACGCCACATCCTGCCCCGGAAGGCCTCAGAGTCCTGTTCTACTCCCGTGCCCTGTAGGAGGGGAGAAGGGTGTACTGAGCCAGACTGCATCAGCTTCCTCTCCTCTGGCCTGGGCACAGCGAGGGTGCAGGGGCTTAGGCCTTCCGACCACAGAGACCCTGCTCATCAGGCTGCTCTCCCCCAGGCAGCAAGCAGGTTTTCAGAGGGCCTCTGCCCTCCTGCCTTCCCACTGTGGTCCGGACTGCTTAGGGCAGGGTGGAACCCATCCATCCATCCATCGTTTACTGGAGCATGTGTGGAGTGTATCTTCCCTGCTGGGCATGAGCCTGACCCCTGGAGTTTAGCATGTCCAGTGGAGGAGGCCATCTCTAATAAGGTAGTCTACTGAATTCGCTTCAGTCCTGCGACCGAAGGGTGGGGACAGCAGGAGACTGGGGCATCGGGGAAGAAACATGCAAGCTCAGATCTGAAGTGTGGTATCTGCCAGGCAGCAGAGAGGTGAGGCAGTGAAGGAGGATGGGAGATCCGTGAGGGGAAGGGGGACACTGGAGCTTAACTCTAACGCAGTCGTGCGTCAAGTGCAAAATGCCATCCTGTTTGCCTCTAAGGTGCCTCCCTGTATGTGCTCTGGGGCCAGGAGGAGGACAGGGTAACCCAAGGGGCTGCTGTCCAGGCCCGAAGCTGCTCCTCAGGTAGACTGGCCATGCCTGAAGTGCCAGGAAGCTGCAAGTGTCCTAAGGGCCATTGCAAGGCTGGAGTAGAGCAGCCTACTGCACCCCAGGGGGCCTCAGCACTTACACCACTGTATTTCCCCAGTTCATTAAGGGCCCCTGGGGTGGCCATGCTTTATCTCGGCCAGGGTCTGAAGGGGGTGGTTTGTCCCAGCTTGTGCTTTGCTTGAGCTACCAAGGGTCACAGAGCACCTGCCTCCCACTGTAAGGACTCGGGTGCTGGAGATGTTTCCACCAGACAGGGCTTCTGGAGGCTGGGAGGCCCTGGGGCCTCTTCCCAGAAGACACTTTTACCTATTTAAAAATAAAACGAAGGGGACAACCAAGGCAGCAACTACATGGTGAAATCCCATTTTCAGACTACAGAAGCACACAGTTAAACATGCTGCTTTCTTTATTACCAGGCCCAGTGACAATGTTGAGCCCCATGTCAGTGGCCATTGTCATTGCGAATCGTGGCGTCTGCAGTACTGGGATGCAATAGGAGAGGTCGGTGATTACTCTTGAGGACAGTGGTTCGACAGCTGAGGCAGTTAATGAACATGCAAGTGGACTGCTGTCCCCTAGAGGGGCTCTCAGGTCCCTGTGTGACCTCCTGGAGCCTTGTTTCCCACACCTGTCCTAAGGGTTCTTCCTGTCCTGACCTCCTGAGGATTCAGGTCTTGCTCTCCTTCCCCGTGCAGGGAGAGGCGGGGGCAGCTTTCCACTTAGCAGAAGGGGTGAGGCCTGGGTATCTGTCACAGGCTCCCAGAGACGCGACTCCTCACCACCAGGCCCTGGCCAGGCACCTGTCCCATCCCACCCCGGGACATCATGCAGAAACTTCCAGAGAGCCTCCTGAGTGCCGTGTGACTTAGTGGCCCAAGATCTCAGCAGGAGTGACCAGCTGATAAGAGCACGGTGCTGCTGGCACTGGGCTGTTCTCATGGGGGCTCAGCCATGCAGGTGGACCCCGGCTCCTTGCTGTTGGGGTCCTTGTCCCCCAGCCCCCTCGCTGGCGTTGCCTGCAGCCTCCAGGCGCCGACCCCAAGCAGTGGCGGGAGAAGTGGGGGTCCGATGCCCCAGGAATGTCAGGACTTCCTGGCTCTCCCGGTCCATTCCAATCACTGCCCTCCCATCACTTCTCGTGCCACAAGCTCCGCTTCCCATGCCTCCCCTTGCTTCTCCCCTCTTTGCTTCCTCTGTTTCCTCCATTGCTCCCTTGCCTCTGCCTTCTCTTCAGAATCCCGCCCTCCCCTTTCCGCCATCTTCTTAGGCTTTCGACCTGCTGTCTGTCCCCTCTCTGTCCCTTTGTCAGCAGCCCCTTTGGGCAGAAGTCTGGGCCCTGGTGACCTTTGGGAAGCTTTTGTGACTCAGTGGCTCCATTTCTGCACGTTCCGGATGAGAAAGGGCCACCCGCCTCAGGTCCCAGGTGCATTTGGGATAGGGGTGGGGAGCCCGTTGGGCCTGACTGGAGAGTAATGAAGCTAGAGAACAAAGCACTGAAAATAGCCCTTTACGGAAGCATCCTCCATCCATCCAGGAGGGCAGAGGTCCAGGAGCTGGGACGGTGCTGGGGAGCAGAGGGCCTCGTTCTGCTGAGGCCCTGGGTGCTGGAGCAGCACCTGGGCCTGGACACCCTCCAATCCTAACCTGTATGTTTCCAGGATCCCCTGCCGTTCTTCTCACTTTCTTCCCTCTCAGTTGACCCAAACCAGATTTTTGTGACTCTGGGCCCCGACTGGGCTGACTCAGAGTATCGATAAGGGGTTCTTTCCTCCATAGGAAGGGAATGTTCTGAACAGCACCGCAGGCCGGAAAAAGGGGATGATGGCAGCAGGCCTGGAAGGCATCCCGGCCCTGTGGGAAGTGGGTTTTTTGTCTGAGTCAGGCCTTGAATAGGGCTTGGTGTCCTGCCCTGTCCTCGCTGTGTGACCTTGAGCTGGTAACCTTCTGTCTCTGAGCCTCAGTTACCCCAGCTCTAGAGTGGAGGAAGGGTCCCCTGGGAGGATCGCTGGAGTCCCCAGGGGTGCCAGGAGGTGGCCAGGACATGCAGACGTGCGCTCTCAACCTTGAGCCTCTCTCGAAGCCTGCCTTCGAGCTGTTCCGCTGATGCGTCCCCGGCTCAAAGCCTGCTGCTGTCTGCAGCTATTTTGGATACACGAGGATTGGATGGGCAGATGGAGTCTGGCAGGGCTGGACTCCAGCTGTCTGCTTGCTCCACTTCAGGCTCCATGTCCATTCCTCCCCCGCTCCTCCAGCCCCACCTTCTGGCCCAGCTCCAGGGTGCCACATGGCTGCCTTCGCACTCGTGCCAGAGGGCCTCTGGCTCCTGGGATTTCGGGGCACCATCTTGTTCCTGGGTGGGGCAGGGCAGAGCAGGATAAGCTTTGGTGTGACCCTTGCCTGGCTTGGAAACCCAATCTGCTGTACAATGGCTGTGTGACCTTGGACCAGTCATTTCCCTCTCTGAGCTTTGGTGGCAGCAGATGTGACGGGGAGATTCACAGGCCCCGCTTTCAGGTCACTGGGGGTCCCTGAGATGGTGTAGGTGGAGCCCCCAGAATGGGCCTCCAGAGTTCCTAGCTCTCTAATGCGCTTTCCAGGAGACAGTCACACCCTTCCAGAGCTCCCAGGAAGTACGTGCTAAGTGACTAACAAATGCTCCCCAATGACTACAGCCCCACCCCCTCTACTCCTGGCCCACAAAGCCCCTCTCCCCTTCCACTTCCTGACAGCTCCAGCTATGGATGGATTCCCTCACCCACTGACTCATGAACGTGCCTAGTAAACATTCACGGAGGGGCCAGAGATTTAGCTCAGTGGTTTCGCCGCCTGCTGTGCAAGCACAAGGACCCAAGTTCGATCCCTGGTACCAAAAACAAAAAAAAAAACATTCACTGAGCACCCACTCTTCTGAGTGGAGACCCAGTGGTCACAAGTCCTGCCTTCTCAGAATTTCTATCCTAGTCAGAGAGACAGACAGTAAAGTCAGGCTATGAACAGCATTACACAGAAAAGCATAGCAGACTTGGGACAGATGGAGCCGTGGGGGCAGTGCTGTCATAGATGGGGCCAGTCTGGAAGGGCCTTGTGAAGGAAGAACTAAAAAAGTGAGGGAAGGAGCCATAATCGTGGTTCAACCAGAGAGAGCAGCAAGTGCAAAGGTCCTGAGGTGGGAACAACCCCCTTGTGCCAGAGGAATAGTGAGAAAGGGTGCAGTTGTATGAAGTGTGGAATTTCCTCCAAGAAAGGTGGAAAGGTCCCAGGGTCACGGACTGGGGAGAGGTATGACCTGATGAGGTTTTCAGAAGGCATCAGGCTGCTGGCTGGAACATGGTGATCATTCGAAAGAGACAGGAAAGCAGGGCAGGGGTGGAGCGGGGGTTGTGATTTTCCATGGGGTTGTCAGGTAGACCTCATCCCGAAGGAGCCCCGAGAGGAGGACCTAGAAGGTGAGCAAGTGGAGCGTGCCTTGTGGGTCCTGGGTTGGGAGGCAGAGGCAGCAGCCAGAGGGAAGTGGGGAGTGAGCAAAAGAAATCTGCATAGATGGCAAACTTGACCTCATCTCCATGGCAACCCACTGCCCTCAGGCTCAGCCCAGGCTTCTCTCCTGTGGAGCCGACAGCTGCCTGGCAGATTCTCCCGTCTCACTGCCTCACCTGCACTTTTTCTGTCTGAACACCCACCCTCCCCTTCTTGCCCTGCTCACCTTCAAGACACAGCTTTGAGCTGCATCTCCTCTTTCAGGAACCCTGCCTGGACCGCCCTCCCTAGGCATCCGATGCCATTTGCCTGCACGATGTGCCTCCACAGTCTCTCCTGACCCCTCTGCCTCCAGGCTCCTGACAGCAGGGCAGGGATGTCTCACCTCTGCTGTGTCCCCAGCCCCTTCGGTCCGGTCTGGAGCTTCTGAGACTCAGTGTTAAGGGCTCACCCCAGCCCTGACTCAGGTGGCTGTGTTAGTCTTGGTTCCCCATAGAAACAGGACCAGCAGGATATGCACAGCTACACAAAAGACTTCCTGTGCAGGCTGAGAAGTCCCATGATCTGCCATTGGTGGGCTGGGGCCTGGGAGAGCTGGAGACATCGTTCCAGGCTGAGTCCGAAGGCGGGAGACCCAGGAGAGCTGATGTTGGAGTGCTGTCTTAGTCACTCTCTCATCACTGGGACTCAGTGCCCAGCACCCACAGCTTGAAGGAGAGGTTTATTTTGGCTCACCATTTGTAGAGGCTGCAGTCCATAGTTAGCTGGCTTCATGGCAGAAGGCATGGCAGATTGGAAGCAGAGAGAGAGTGAAAGGAGGTGTGGGGAAAGGAGATAAACCCCTCCAGGCCATGCCCCCCAGTGACCACCTCTTCAGGCCAGACCCCACCTCCTAACAGCAAGTCAGCTATGGTGCCCCATAATCCCACCACCTCCCAAAAGCCCCACCTGTGAGCACATGAGGCTTTGAGGGGACATCTAGACATAAACCATAACAAAGACAGCAAAGGGGCTGGGGTGTGGCTCAGTGGAGAGTGCTTGATGAGCATGTTTGAGGCCCTGGGTTCTGTGCTCAGCACTGCAGAAACAAAAAAGTGACCCCTGAGAGCAGGAGAAAATGGCTGCCCCAGCACCAGAGAGCTCAACTTGCCCTTCTTCCACCATTTTATTCCATGGGGGCCCTCACGGATTGGTGATAGGAGGGTGATGTTCACTCAGCCTTCACACTCAAATGCTCATCTCTTTCAGAAGCACCCCACAGACATACCCAGAAATGTTTTTCCAGCTCTCTGGGCTGGTAAAGCCAGGATCAGTGGCAGAGGCCAACTGCCATCCTGGGCTCTGTGAGGTGGAGAAAAATGGCTGCCTGAGTCCTCACAAGAGCCCAGCTCAGAGAGGAGCTCTCCTCAGCCACCCAGAGATGAGCTTTTGCAGGAAGATGTCACTTGAGGGAGCGCTTGGGAGGGAAGGAAGGAAGAAATGAGTGGCTTTTTTTCAGAATAAGGCCTAATTATATTTTAAGCCAACCCCTCAGGATTAAAGCCATTAGGAGGAAGGGAGGAAGGGAGGGAGAGAGAGAGAGAGAGAGGGAGAGAGGTGTTCCTGTCATTTCCCATTTGCATGGCCCCCTTTTCTCACCTTCTGAGGTTCTGTTCCACAGTGAGAGTGAGTCCTTGGGTTGGGGAGACATTAAGTCTGTTCAGCACAGCACTAGGACACTCAAGACTGGGCCCAGGACACCCAGTTAAGGCCAAGACACCCCCAGCATCTCCAGGTACTTTAGGGGAGCCCTGAAAATGATCAGAAAGTCTCAAAGGAAAACTGACTTCTATGGGCAGAAAAGTTAGTTGTAATGGGTAAAAGTCTACAGAGCAGGACATGTCAAATGTCACAAGGCTTCGCTGATTTGGGTGCCCTGGAAGAGAGACTGGCTGTCCCCTCTTCTGTTTGCTCAGCTTGTTCTCCTGTCTGTTTCCAGAACACGCTGGACCTGGAGGAAACTGGCCAGGATGTGCAGGGCGGGGCCAATGCCCTCCCCGATGTGTCCGTGGTAAGGCCCTGCTGGCCCCTGAGTGGTGCTCTGCTCTCCCTGGGTGGCTCGGGTGTCCCCTGAGCTCCCCCTGGAAGGAGACACAGGACTGGGGAGAGGATGGGCCCACCAGCAGGCCTGCACACTGTGCCGCACGGCCATCTCCCATGGGCCTGGCTGGCTGGTTCACTCCTGGTGACTTAGGGGGGCTAAGTGCATCCTGACTTTTGGTAAGCTACCTGAACATTGCCACAGCAAGCACAGACACCTGGAGCTGTGTGAACACCCCCTTGAGAGGCCATACGGCCGGGTGGGACTCGGACACTAAATATGATGCCACACTTGGTGATTCTGACCCTAATGGCTTTTGAATGGCCTGCACTTGAGCCAGATTGCCTGGGTTCAAATCCCACTTCTTCCACTGACTCTGAGGCTTTGAGCAAATTCCTGAGCCTGTCTGCACCTCTGTTTTCTCATCTGTAATATGGGGATGATAATAGCATACCTGCCCCATGAGTTTGTGGTGAGGGATAATTTAATGATTGAAATACAGCATTTAGCAGAGGGCCCGTGAGACCTGGACCCGGGCCCAGCAGAGGGGAAGAGTAATCACAGGCTCCTCCGCTGCCCTCCACCATGCACCTGCTGCGCCTGGGCCTGGGCATCTCGCTGACCCGCTGTGCACGAGGTCCTCACATCCCCACCTCCCTGCTGCCAGGAATACTCTTCCCATGGCCCAGAGACGTGCTCAGAGAGGTGCAGCACCTTGCCCGGGGCCACACAGCACCACAACCCGAGTGTGCCTCCCCCTGTCCGTTCAGACTCCGCCCAGTCCCACCAACTCTCCCATCTCTAGTACAGATAATCCCCTAAGAAGAAAAGGCGAGAGGGCCGGGGATTTAGCTCAGTGGTTTTGCCGCCTGCTATACAAGTGCAAGGACCCAAGTTCGATACCCGGTACCAAAAAAAAAAAAAAGAAAGAAAAGGCAAGAAACTTGCCTTTTGTGCACTCACCCTCTTCATCCTGCTTCTAATTAAGTCCTGTTGCCTGTGACAAGCCTGGCTGATGCTAGGAACTTCGATTCCCAAAGGGAACAGTGAGGTCCCCAGAGACGCCTGCCAAGATCCCAGCGCTCCTCAGCTGCCGCCCTGCTGGGGAGAAGTTTTCCACTGGGCTGTTACATTATTCAGAGCAGCGTGGCCAGGAGCTGATAGAGCAGGCACCGAGTTCCAGCCGGGTCTGCACCGAGCGGCTGCTCCGGCCTCCCCTCTGCTGCCACCATGGGTTCTGACTCCTTCTACTCCTGTTGGGTCTCTTGGCAGGACGACGTCAGACCCCCCTCCGAGGAGCTGCCCAGCGCCAGGCCTCCGCCTCCCCCGCCACCTCTGGCTCAAGGCCACGACTGCCCGCTTGGCCAGCTGAGGAAGCTGGGGAGAGAGGACCCTCCCGCTCCCTCCTCCACGTCTTCCCACTCAGGCATCATGTTCTCCACACCACGGAACCACAGCCCACCACGGGGCACCGCACCCACCCCGGTGGCTTCTCCTGCCCAGGACTCGCCCTCCTCCCCCATCTATGCCTCTGCCTCCCCTGCCAACCCTGGCTCCAAGAGGCCGCTGGACACCCACCTGGCCCTGGTCAACCAGCAGCCCATCGGGCCCTTCCCTCGGGTCCAGTCTCCGCCACACCTGAAGAGCCCCCCTGTAGAGGTCCCGGGGGCTGGGGGGTGCCTCCCGCCACCCTCACCTTCCAACCCCCCAGACCAGGTGGGCACCAACCAGCACTTCGTCTTGGTGGAGGTGCACCGCCCCGACAGCGAGCCCGACGTGAACGAAGTGCGGGCCCTGCCCCAGGCACGCAGTGAGTATGCAGCCCAGCCTGCTGCTGCCCTAGTGAAGTAGGAGAGCTGGTGTGTGCCCCGGGGCCTGCCAGCCAGACGTCCCCTGGTCAGGGTCCAGTCTTCAAGTGGCTTGGGGTCTGGTCTGAGACCTGCGCTTGATCCTGCTTCTGCCACTGACTGTCACCGAGCCCGCTGCTGCACCTGTCTGAGCCATGGGCTGCTGGGAGGGCTGGGGCCGCCACCAGCTCCCCCAGTGCTGGCTGCTGTGTTCACCTCACAGGGAGGGGAGAGGTGGCTTCTTTCATCCCCATCTGCTAGGACCTTGCACAGAGCAGGCAGTGGGGCTGTGGGCACTGGAGTTGTGGACTCCATATCCCAGGAGGCTCCTGGCCTGAGGCTGCAGCATCAGTTGGTAGGGTGGCTGTCCCAGGTGGGCCCTCCTGTCGGAAGGGGTGCAGGAGACAGCCCTGGCTCTCCCAGCCAATCTGGGCACATTTCACTGGGTTCTGCTGCCATCTTGTGGCTAGAGTGGTACCTGGGCCAAGGAAGGGGACCCCAGGACCAGTCACATAGCAGGCAGCCGCAGGCTAGGATGCACAACACTAGAAGCTTGGGGAGGGCAGGCCGCTATGGGAGAGCCCGTGGGACACAAGAGAGAAACCAGAGAGACCAAGGAGTGGTCACCGCCACCTCCAGACCCAACACTGGGCTGCACACAAGTGCAGAGAAGAGCCCAAGGCTGTGCTGGAGAAACCCTCTCTAGGAGGCAGACCCTGTCCCAGAGCCTACCTGCATTATTAATGTGTCTGCTCTCAGCAGCCATGGAAGGAAGCTGGTAGTGTCCTCATTTGCAGGTGAAGGAGCTAAGCTGCATTAAATAGTGGCAGGCCCAGGCAGCGTAGCCCAGGTTGCCTCTCCTGACCCAGCTGGTTGTGTCTGTTAGTCTGTATGCCAGCCTCTAAGATGGGCATCGCTCATCTAAGGCCCAGATAAGCTCTGCTACCACCCACACTTGCACAGCTGGTCCAAGGGCATTCGCACTTGACCCACCAGATTCCAGATGCACATTCTTAACCTGGGGTCTCTGGCTCAGGGCGGCATGGTCACCCAGACACCTAGAGGGCCTGTGCCCACCACTCAGCTCAGGCCAGGGGGTCACACACAGGGGTGCAGGCCAGGAACAGCAGGCATTCCTTTTCTTTCTTAGGAAACTAGAAGCTACTTATTTAGGTGAAATCTCCTAATTTGTATATGTTAATCCATCATTAAAAATGATCGGCATTGCATGAATTTAAAAAAACAAAGACAAAGGCATGAAGATGCACAACTGTAACCCACCCCTTGGGAGGCTGAGGCAGGAGGATGGAAAGTTCAAAGGCAGCCTGGGCTACATAGTGAGACCCTGTCTCAAAATTAAAACAAAACAAACACAATCAGGGGGCTGGGCTGGCCTCCATTTTAATCATTATGCCAGTGGCTGAGACAGGGATATCAAGGCAGATGTCCTAGAAGCAGCAGCTAGGGCAGGAGAGGGTGGCAAGGGGTCTCCCTGCCCTTCAGCCCCTGGCTCCCTTCATTCCTTCCATCCATCTCTGCCTGGGAAGTCCCCCAGCCTTCCAGCCTCTGGCTCCATGGCCACCTCCAGGAAGCCGTCCCTGACTGTCCCTGTCCCTGTCCTTCTGTCTCCCAACCCCCAGCAGCCTCCACGCTCTCCCAGCTCTCTGACAGTGGTCAGACTCTGAGTGAGGACAGTGGCGTGGATGCTGGCGAGGCGGAGGCCAGTGCCCCAGGCCGAGGCAGACAGATGGCATCCACCAAGAGCAGGAGCAGCAAGGAGCTGCCGCGGAATGAGAGGACCGCAGAGGCGGGCAACAAACCGGTGAGGAGGGCCAGAAGGGAAGGGGTACGGGTTGGGAGGAAGATGGGGCCCAAGGTGGAGAACAGCTGGTCCTGGGGCCCAGGGTGCAGCTCAGCAAGTGACCACCAGGGGCGGTGGTGAGCTCCCCATTGCCTATTGCTGGGGCATTTCAGTGTCTGCAAGTGCTTGACTTCATCCCTGCCACCCTACGGGCTCCCAGCATGGGCCGCAGTCCAAGCCCTGTTGGCCTAGGGATGGGTTGTGGCCCAGCCCAAGCCCTCAGCCAGGCCAGTCCACTGAGAAGGCCTCACCCCATAGCCTGGGCTCCTAGAGCCGACATCCACCCTGGTTCGAGTGAAGAAGAGTGCAGCCACCCTGGGCATCGCCGTTGAGGGTGGGGCCAACACACGCCAGCCACTGCCAAGGATCGTCACAATTCAGGTAGGTCCCCAGGGGTCCCCCGGACCCTGTTGCCCTTCCCCCAAAGTTCCTGAAGTCCTCTTGCTCAGCATGCCCAGGCTCTTGCCACCCCGGAGGTAACAGCACCCAAGGGCACCCTGGTGCGTGTCCCTGCCTTGTCTCAGCACTATCAAGTGTCCCTGAAGGGTCTGGTTGCATGGGCAGGACACCCCCTCTTCATCCTGGACCCCCAGACCAGGGAACTGGGAGGCTCACAACCCCTTTGCTCTGTGCAGCTGCAGTTTTGACACCAGGATGTGGCTGCCTAGCTGGCCATGTCAGACTGCCCGTCAGGTGGCCAGAGCCAGGCCTGCCCACCACTCAGTCACCCGGGTGACCCCTGCCCTGTCTCGCTCTGCAGCGAGGGGGCTCGGCCCACAACTGTGGGCAGCTCAAGGTGGGCCACGTGATCCTGGAAGTGAATGGGCTGACGCTCCGCGGCAAGGAGCACCGGGAGGCCGCCCGGATCATCGCGGAGGCCTTCAAGTCCAAGGACCGTGACTACATCGACTTCTTGGTCACTGAGTTCAATGTGATGCTCTAGAGGCCAGGGCTGAGCGCCTCCCACTACTGTGTAGCTCCTGGTCCCCGTCCCTCCCCTGTCCTGGCACTTTCAGGCTCCCTGAGGGGTGGGGGTTGGATGGCCAGGGTGGCAGGAAGTGCCCCCCTCTCACTCTGTCCTGACCCACTGGACCAGAGTCAGGCAAGGCAAACAGGTCAGTCAGAATCTATGTGCTGGTCCACAGTAGGCGCTCAGTACAAGTGGGCCACAGGAAGAGGAGAGGAAGAGAAAAGGCAGATCCTGTTTCTTGGCTCTGCTGCCCCCTGGCCCCAGATACCTGAGCCTTTGCCCAGAGTGAGGTCACAGGAGAATCCAAGGATGCAGCTTCCTGCCATGGGGCCTCCTGCAGGACCTTCAGTGCCACAAATAAGCATCAAGATGGCCCCGCTCCCACCCCTGTTCCTCCTGGCTCCTTATCCCCCTGGTATTTATTATTTATTGCCCACCCCATGGTGCAGGGACCCCAAAGCCCAGCTTCCCACTGTACCCCCAGCCTATCCCAGAGGCCTTGCGGGCGACCAACAATGTCCGTGTATTTATATACAGAGCTTATGACTTTAATTTTTCAATAAAGAAATCTGAACCAGGTTAGGGGCCAGCATGCTGTGTGGCCTGCCTATATGGCCAGGGTTTTGACTGCTCTGTGTGGAGAGAGGGGAGGAGTGGACAGGACAGATGGGGCCACCCAGAGCATTACAGGACCACCTTGGGACTCTGCAACCCACACAGCAGGGTGGCAGGGCGCATGACCCTCACCTGCATCTCAGAGCCCCTTATTTGAAGGTGTGAGGGCAAAACACATATGTATGTACAGATGATGTTTTTAGACAAAACCACACAGGTTTGTTATGGTGTAGAATGCATGTTTTAAAATGCAGGTCTCAGGTGGGCTCTGGAAAGTGATTCCTTAAGGAAGTGCTTCTAGGGGGGCCTGTAGTGTGTGTGGGGGCAGCAGGCCAGGAAAGGGGAAAATCCAAAGGACTGCAGGATTTCAGGCAGTCCCCAGAGGGCAGTGTCAGCCTCTACCTGGGGACCTGGAGTGTAAGGGAGGCAGTGCTGTCTCCACCGAAGACCCAGGCTGGGCTTGGTACCTGTTGTGAATTCCCAGTCTCCTGCATTCCTGCACTTCCATAGGTCCAGCTGTCTCTGTAGCCTGTCTCTATAGCTGTCTCTGTACCCAGGGCAGTGGGTGCTGAAAGCAAACTCATGGAGAGGGCAGGGAGGAGAAGGGGGCACGACGGTGGACATATGGCCTCAGGGCCAGCCCCAGGGCCCCTTTCCTCTGGTCCCCAGGATTTGTCTGGTGGGGAAAGTGTTTGAGAAGTCCTGCTTTGCCCAGCAGGACTGTGCTCAGAGCTCTGCCTGAGCTGAACGAGGGGACGTGGGCCACATGGTCTGATTCAAGGTGCTATTAGCTGTCCCTGTTCCCTTCCAGCCCAGGCAGACCGCCCAAGGCCAAAGCCGTGAATTCCCCAGAGGCAGCTGGTGTCCTTGAAGCCCCCAGCCCCTCTCCAGGAGTTGTTTGCTCCTCCCTCCCCAGATCCTCAGGGTCACTGAGGGAGGGGACTAAGCCCCTCCTTCCTTCAGGGGGCATCCTCAGGGCTCTGATCTCAGGCATTGACCTCCAGTCTAAGCCCTCTGTGGTCCCAGGCAGGTGATTTCACCCCAGGTCAAGCTCCTCACCTGTAAAATGCATATGATGGGCTGGATAATAGGCACCCCCAAATAACCAGATTCCCACACCTAGACTCTGTCCGTTACCTTATAGGGTAAAAGAGAGCTGTGGATGTGAAGAAGCTGAAGTCCTGGGGCGGAGATATGATACTGGATTCACTGCACGGGCCCAGTGGGATCACAGAGGCAGAGCTGGGCACGGGGGTATTTGCCTATAATCCTAGCACTCAGGGAGGCTGAGGCTAGAGGACTGAAGAAGTCTGAGCCCAGGTGGCGTAGCAAGGCCCTGTCTCCAAAATAAACAAGTAACTAAAAAATTAAAGCTGGGCTCAGCGCAAAAGCCTAGGTTCAATCCCCACTACCCCCTGCCCTCCCCACAAAAAGAAGGCAAGGAGATAGAGAAAAATTTGTCACAGGAGAGGGAAAGGGATGGTGCTGATGGAAGCAGTGGCTGGAAGGTTATACTCTGAAGATGGAGGAAGGGCTGGCAAGCCAAGGAATGCAGGCCTTCACCAGAAGCTGTGAAAAGGCCAGCAAATGGCTTTGGGTCACCCTGCGGAAGTGCTTCCAGATGTGATAACAGGAGGATCTCCCAGGCCTTGGGAATGCTACACCTCTCCCAGGCCAGAGTTCTTGCCCATCTGTTCTGAAAGGGAGCTTTCGAGCTGGCACTGCTGTGATTATCACTGACCTAGGTGATGACCTCTGCATTTTGTCTCCACTTGGCCCAGTGCCCTGGGGACAGACAGCCCCAAGACAGTTTCAGGAACTTCCTGCCCGGAGGGGAGAAACACAGCAGAAGAGTGCCTCTGACAAGTCGCTTCCTGCCTCAGCCCCTGTTGACTCTCCCGTGTAACAGGGCTAGTGGAAGTGCTTATTACATTAGTTCCATTGATGTATTTGGGTAGGGATTATGGTTCCTTTCGGTCACTGCTTGACTTTGGACAAGTTTTCAGGCTCATCTCCAGGGGATTGGACTGGAACACAATGGGGGTGGGGGTGGGGGGTGATACCCTGCTACGGCCTAGGAGAGGATTGAAATCATCACACCTACAACAGAGCCAGACACCTACCGAGTGCCCACGACAAGTGCATTTGTCACTAAGCCATCCATTTCAGTGGTAAAAGTTTGTGATTTCTTCCTCATGGTGGCTCTGCGAGACCTTGCACAAATTTCTTACCCTCTGGGCTTCAGTCTCCCATCAGCGGTAGGACGGATTCCAGTAGGAAGACGCAGCGAGGCAGATGTGAGATTTTCAGTCCTGGAACCAGGGAGCCCGCTCTCCGACTTCCGAGTCGCGAGAGGCTGGGTGCAAGCGGCCGCCTCCCTACTATTGGTTGGGCACCACGAAGACCCGCCCCCCAAGTATCCGCCCCCGCCATCCCTGGCTGCCCTCCGGTATTATGCAAAGCAGCCGTCACCCCGCCCCGCGCGCCTATTGGTGGCCTTTGTTTGCCGCTCAACTCCAGGAAACCACCCTCGCGCCGCGGCCCGCAGGTGAGCTGGGGAGGGTCTCTTGGGGGTCCCCGCGGGGCTCAGCTTCCCGGTCTGGAGAATGGGGAGGGAGATCGGACATTTCCGCTGGGCTCCCCTCTCCAGGGACAGCGCTGCTTTGGGTCTCTCCCACGTGGGGACTCCATGCGCACGAGTAGGGTACAGATTGCGGCTCCGGGAAAGGGAGGGAGCCCGGAACCTGCGATCTGGGCGCGAGTTCAGACCCCGCTGGCTGCGGTCTCCGCCCCACCCCCGGCCTCATTCTCCACCTTCGAGTAATGGGGACATCGGCTCCATTCCTCCTTCCAGCTGGGCTGGGTCGCTGGGAAGGCAGGGGTCCCCGGGGAGTCGGGAGTGGTCCTTGGCGGGGCCGCGGGCTGTGTTTGCGCTGGAGGCGTGGCTCCCGTTGCTGCGGTGACAGGGGAGGTGGGACTTTTTCGGGGCTGGGATTTGTGTGCGGTTTGTTCACCCGGCAACAACCCGCACAGCCTGGCGTCCCTGAGCCACGCGCTCTCCCCGGACACCTAACGCAAGTTTCTTTTCCTCTTTTTTAGCAGTGGGGAGGGAGGCAGACAAAGGCCAGGGTGGGGTGGGCAGCCTCGGCCGTGGTAGGAACTGGAACGAGTTGCAAAAATGAGGCCAGTCCCCCTCTTAGTACACAGAAGACCCCAAGCGCGCACGGCAGGGAGGCGCAGAGCTGGTATCTCCCCAGCGAGATGGGGGTGGCACCGGTAGAGGCGGTACGTGCTTGCTGTTTGACCTTGGATGAGACTCTCGCAGGGCTCCTTTACCAGGCTTTAGTTGAAAGAAAATGACAGCGTGGAGCAGATCATTATCGCTGCTTAAAAACCTTCTGCTTCTGAGTGAGACAGTTGAGAGGAAAGTTGCTGATAACAATCCCCAGCTATTTTAGAGCTGAGAGAGAGGCTGAGAGCGGCTGTAGTGAAAACGGACATTGTTTCTGTCGTCTAGAACAGGAGAAGAAAAGGGCTGGCACTGACGCATGAGGGCCTAAGGTTAGACACATACAGGGACTTCCCAAGATTTCCCCAGGTGCCCCCACTGGAGCTGGTGGGTTTATGTCTTGGCTGTTTTGTTAAGGAAACAGAACAGCTGCCGGTGGCTTTGAGTGGGGATGAGCCTGGTTTACTTACCGACAGCGGGTGATCGGTCGGGAGCCTGTGGTCTTCTGGGGCAGCCTGTTTGGGTTCGTTCCCAGGGGCCGTCTCAGTTCTTCTGCAGGAGGGGGAAGGTGCCCACATGGGCCCTTTGCCTCCCCAGGCCAGCTGGTTTGCATTTGAAACATGTGATCTTTGGGGCGCCTCTTGTGAAGGGATTTCATCAGCTCCCCTGTCTAGCAGGCTCTGCCAGCGTACTGGGGTTGGGGTTTCCAGAGGCTGGGAGCCCTGATGCGAGGGCGTTTTGGAAACTGGTGCACCATGTCCCTGTGTGCCCCCTCAAGGGGGAGAAGGAGCATGACAAAGCCTCCATGCGGCCAACTGCATGCCATGTCCTCCTGAGGCTGCCTTAGTCCCCCAAGGGGGGACCCAGCCTGGAGCCTTGGCCTGGCTTCAGGTCCGAGTGCCTCGGTTTTCCTGTCTGTCAGATGGGCGTGGCAATGCTAGATGGCGTCACAGAAAGCCACTCAGCCATATTCTAAGTTTAGAGATGAGAAAGCAGAGGCCCAGAGAAAGGAAAGAATGACAACGCAACAGTGCTAATAAAGCCATGACAGTAAGAGAGGAGGTTTATTGAGTGTTGTCTCCCGGGGGTTTTACCGAAAGATGAGCAGTCTAAGAGAGCAAGAACTCTCACCTGTTCTGTCACCTCTGCCATTCCCTAGTTGCCAGCACAGAGTCCTATTCTATTCGACCACTTGGTCTCATGACATTGCCATGAGATGGACTTTATTGCTGGCTCCGTTGTACAGATGAGAAGCCTGAGGTTCAGAGAGATTATGTCACTTGCTGAAGCCACACAGCTCTTCGGCGGACTTACCTGCTCCTTACTGTGGGACACATAGGAGCGTGAGAGTTGATTGTGCCCATCTCTTCCCAGTGTATTCTCCAGTGATACCACTCCGCTGGCTTGAAATTGGCTGTAGTTGGGTATATGCACCAGAGGAGTCAGTATAGGCCCCAGATCGGGGCTTTGTCTTGTCTTTTTCTTCTTTCAAGAGAGCAGCGTGGGAAGGACACTGGGGGCTGGGAGTTCAGCCTTGCTTCTATAGGGAGCCCAGAGCCGGGTTCCTGGGAGTGGATCAGAAAGGCCCAAGCCCCATGGCAGCATGGTTTGGGATGGCACCAGCCTACCCTAGGCTCTCAGCTTCCCATGGGCTTGAGTGCAGCAGCTCTGACTCGACAACAAACTGGTTTGCGCCCAAATTCCAGGCCAGAATGTCCGGTCTTTCACTTCGAGGATGGGAGCTGTGGACGGTTCTTACTTGAGAGAAAGACCTGAGAGGGTGAGCGCCCGGCTAGGCCACCAGAGGGAGGCACGGGGCAGCCCTGGCTCCCAGCCAAGCAGCCCAGCGGAGCCCTCACTCTCTCTGGTGCAGAGCTTCCTTCCTGGCCTGCAGGAGGCTCAGCCTCAGGCTGTAGGCAAAGGTCTGATCTGCCAGCTAGAGCCCAGGCCCCAGCCCAAAGCCTCAAATTTTCAACCCACCCACCTCTGTCCAGCCTGCAGTCCCATCTCGGCTCTGCTCACCCGTAGGTGTCTTCTAAGCTGCAGCTCAGTTTCCAAGCAGGACTCCTGCCCACCTCCCCCTGGCTGCTCCCACTCTGGCCCCCAGCTCCTTGCCCATCCCCCTGCTGAGCCTGTTCTTGGGGAGGCCCAAGTTCAAGGCCAACACGAGATGCCCAGCTGTCAGCCTCCTGGGCTGCTGGGACCACAGCCAAGGGCCTAGGACTGGGTGGAAGCCTCAGGGTCCAGGAGGCCCTGCTGAGTTCCCCAAGGAGGGGATTCATTTGGAAGGTGATGCTTTATTTGTGGGTGCAGACCCAACTCTTCTCCTAAAGCGCTGTGTGACTTCAGGCAAGTTGTGTGACCTCTCTGAGCTTTTACTCCTCTGTTAAATGCCTGATGATTTATGAGGAGTCTAGTTCAACAGCACAAGCCAGACTCCTCAATGCTGAGTGTCCCAGGCTGGATGCTGCTCTCCCTCCTTCTGGTGATTTCACATGTTGCACAACAGCTGTATGTGCAGCAAACAACATTCAGTGCCGGAAGTTACTGTGAGTAAGGAGTCACAGAAGGTCGAGATGTCAGAGCAGCAGAGGACCTGAGAGCACAGCGCTCCTCCTGTGGTTGTGGTGGGGACGCTGAGGAAGGGCCTGGCCTGTCCCGCTAGAGAAGGAGGCCCCACACAGATGGGAGGTGGCATGTGTGTGTGTGTGCGCACATGCGTGTGTGTGTGTGTGTGCGCGTGTGTGTGTATGTGTGTGTGCGTGCGTGTCTGTGTGTTCAAATAGAAGAAAATATCCATCTCATGCTTATTCTTAAAGCAACTGTTCTTCTTAGAAAATACGCACAATTCTGCCACCTGCTTTGCAAGCGCAAGGTCCCGAGTTTGATCCCTGATACCAAAAAAAGAAAATATACACAAGGAAAAAGGGTAAACTGGCTCGTAATTCTCCTACCTAGTGATAATTATTATAAACATTTTTGGGCACTTCTCTCTTTTTTTCTCTTTTCTTTTTCCTTTTCTCTCCTCTTCCTATATGTTTTTTATTGTTTTTTTTTTTTAATTTAATAGACTTTAACTTGATATGTATTATTTTATAAATGGCTTGTTCACTTAACATACCATGATTTTAACACTTTTTTATTCTTCTATACCAGGATTGTTATTAGCTGTACACTATTCCTTTGAGTAGAAATATAATTAATATCCGTGTTCCCCTGTTCATGGGCGCTGAAGTTATTCTCAACTTTTTTCCTTACTATAATCTTCAGTCACAACATGATGAAGATTGTGCTTTCTGGATTTGAACAGCCTGGTCATGCCCATCTGTAAAGTTTCTACTTCCTTGGATTGGTATGAGGATTGAATCCTGAGAAGTAATCCAGGAAAAGACATTTATGAGGTATTTGCCACATAATAGGTGCTCAATAAAGTTTCACTTTAAGCAATTCATTATGAGCACATGCACTTTTTTTTTTTAATTTGGCTTTTGGAAAAGAACATGAATGAGAGAGAGAAGAGAGAGAAAGAAGAGAGTTTCTCCATATGGCCACACCCTCCTCATAACCTATGGCTCAGTTGGCTAAGGAAGGCCTGTTTGCTCCCCTTCTTAACGACTCATGGTGGGTGGGGACACAGTCTCTGGCTGGGTTGGTGGCTCCAGACTGCTTGGGGCAGGTGGGGGGGGGATCACAGGGAGATGGCAGCATTCCTCTGCCCTGGGGAGGGCTGGCTTCCCTTTCTGAGTCTGGGATCCAAAGCTGGAGCTTTGGCTGAGTCAAAGTCAGGAAAACTATACTCCACTCTGCAGGGAGTGGGCCCTGTCAGCGTTTCACTTGGGCCACAGTCATCATTCGAGGGCAGTTCCTGCGCCAGTGGGGCACTAGGTCAAGAACTTTAGACATGTCATCTCATTTATCACCCCAAGAACCCTGTCAAATCAGTGTCACCCTCAATTTACAGATAAAGCATCTGGGGTTCAGAGAGATTAAACAACCTGCCCAAGGCCACACAGCTTCCCAGGGCAATCACGGAATTCTCTGTTGGCCTACGAGGCCCGTGTGGCCTGCTGCTGCCCACTAGCCTGGCAGGGCTGCCTGCGTGGGAATAGAGAACCCAGAAGGTTTTGCATTAGAGGGTGATCTCTGATAACCCCAGAGGTCATCGTGTTAAACTTCAGGCTTCCAGAGCTCTAAGAAGAAAAGACAGTTGTCCCAGGTCCCCAGGCTGGGCCTTGGGTCTCCGCTTCCCAAGCCAGGCTCTCCCCATTCTTGGTCCACTCCAACATCCTCATGTGTCCTGCCTCAGGCTCCTGTGGGTTTTAACCCCAGGGTAAACAGCAGCCCCATGGTGGCTGTGAAGCCTAGTGACCTAACTGTCCCCCTGGGCTCAGGACATGGTGTGGAGAGGTGACTGCAGGTGCGGCCTCGCCAGGGCTGTTTGTGCCAGGCTGCGCCTGAGGCTGAAAGAGAGAAAGAGCCCCTTCCAGTCTGGAAAAGATGTGGGGAGGAGGAAGGGAGGGATGGTGGAGCGCGGGCAGGAGACAGCGGCTGAGGCGCCAAGGCTCAGGGGTAAATGGCTGCTGGGCCTTCTTGGGCCTCGGTTTGCCCAACTGCACCACAGGATGATACCCCTATCTTGCCCACTTCCCAGAGTCATTCTGGAGCCTCTCTCTAGGGCTATGAAGCAGGAGAAAGACCTTTGGAAAACCCGAACCCTCTGAAACCAGCACCTTGTTATGAAGCCAGTGAGCTTTATGGTGCAGTACTAGCTGGTCGCAGATCTGCTCTGACTTTATCTCGCATAGGTATTAATGACTTTTGCAGGCTGCAGTGCCCATCTGGGTCCTTAGGAACTGGGTCCTTGGGTGTTTGAATCTCTGCTGGTGCTTACCAGCTTTGTGACCTTGGGCAGATTGCTTGGGCGCTAGGGGACTCTGTTTGCCCGGCTGTAGAATGGGTGCCTTACACCAGGCTCACTGGGTTGTTTGAGAGCTACAGGTCAGGCTGGGCAACTAGTGAGGTTTAGAGCATGAGGCCACGTGTACTCTTAGCATTTCTATTGTGTGCCTGTGCTGGGTGCAGGACACTTAGCAATGAGGGTCTCTCTATGCTGCCAGTAGAGCCAAGGGACCAATGTGGGTCAGATCATCCTAGTATAAATCCAATAGTGAGTCCCCAAGAGGGGCTCACCAGAGCCAGGTCTGCAGGTGGCCTGGAAACAACAGGGAGCTGTGGGGCTGGCTGGGAGGAGGAGCAGGGTGCCTGTCCCAGGACCAAGAAGGAGACCCCGATGCAGGAGCATGCAGGAGAGGGAAGGGAGGCTCCACAGCAGTCGGGTGGGAGTGGCATCCACTTTCCCAGGGCGGCAGCAGCCACTCGAGTGCTCTGAGCGCGGAGGGACTGAATGGAAGCATGTGCTTTGGCTGATCACACGGGTGCAGTGTGGGGTAGGATTGGGAGCTGGCCCGGGAGGCCACATGGGGATGCAGTCGAACTGACTCTGGTGAGATTTGGGAAACAACTTCAGCAGGACTTGATGATGTATCATTATGGAAAGCAGGGGAGAGAGGAGTGGCCAGATTGACCGTGCTTTCTGGCTTGTGGATCCACAGGAAGATGTGGGCTTGGAGGGGGCACTGTGAGGAGCTCAGCTTTGCGTGTGCTGCTCTGGCTACGTGAGCAGGGACAAAGTCACCGCACGTGCAAGCCAAGGAGGAGTGGTGCCAAGGAGGTGGCACAGAGCACGCTGGAGGCTGCCCCTAGCAGGGCTCAGGGTGTCCCGGGGCTACGGGGTGTGTCCAGCAGCGGTACCCACCTGGCTTTGATGGCAGCACTGGCTGGGTTAATGACAGGGAGGGTGATGAGTGAGTGACAGGATGTCAGGGGAGCCCACCCCCCACACAATGGCCCACATGGTCACCAGAGCTGGCAGGGAGGGGCCTCATTAGAGTCTGGCTCTGCTCCATGGCAGAGCCCAGCACCCAGATGTTCATAAAGGCAGGGACCCGGGTAGAGGAGGTGGGAGGTTAGTGGGACAAGGGTGCCTGGCTCCAGCCTTGGCCCTGCCAGATATTCACAAGCTGACCTTGGGAAAGCTCATTCATTCATTCATTCATTCAGTGAATGCATTCACTACCCACAACCAACATGCCAGGCTCAAAGCAAGGCATTCAGACCCAGCCCTTGGAGTTGACCAGAGACTTGTACCTAAGCAGTACCAATAGAAGAAGTAGGAATGAAACAGCAGGATAAGGGACAGCACTTTCCAGGTCCCCTGCTCTGCACTTGGCTGGCTTTGCCTCCTGGAACCTTGACCACAGTCCTGAGGGGGCTACTCTTGTCCCCATTTTGCAGGCGAGAAACTGAGGCTTAAAGAAGTGAAGCCTCAAAAGCCCCCAGGCAGCAATAGGTAGGGCTTGGGTGGAGCCCAAACCCCTGTGGGGCCTAAGATTCTTCATTTGGCTGGACACAAATGCTTCCAGAACCTGGCTGCTCACCAGAGTCACAGGGAGGGCTTCTAGGCAGTTCACAGGGCCATTCTTGTGCTTTTTATTCTTATGTCCCGACTTTGAATTTCTGGGCCAAGGATGGGGTCACAGTTGGGAGCCAGGGGTCTGAGCCCCTTCCCCTCGGACCCCAGCTCCTGCCTCTCCCTCTGGGTGCATGGCTTTGCTGGTCTCGGGATCTCCCACCTGGGGCCTCTGCACGTCCCTTCCCGAGCCCTCGGCCCGGACCTGCTTGCCACTCGCCTGGGCCCCTCCTTCCTTCCGGTCCCCTGCTTGTGGGCCTCCTCACAGACACCTTCCTTTGTCCTGAGCTTCCTCCCCAACCCCTTACTCCAGGCCCCTGGGTCCTCTACCCAGGCACGTGACCCAGCTACCTGGGGCACCTGAAATTTCAGTGCCAGAGACTGAGCCCTCTGGGCCAGGTGAACCTGAACATCAGAGCCACCCAAGACTGCCTGGGACCCAGAGCGTTGCTCCTCTGCCCTGCTGGGTCTTGTGCACCTCTCTCCTGAAAGTCACACCTGCTCCATTACTGTCCCAGTCCGCACTGGAGTGGAGAGTGGATGTGGGCCTGCCACAGCACAGAAGCCCAGTGAGTGGATGAGCTGCTGAGGGCAACTTGGGAAAAGGCAGCTTGGCCATCAGGGTTAATCTATCCCTGACCTCTGCGGAGCCCCAGGAGGGAGTTTGCAACAGGGGAAAATCAGTAGATCACCCTGTTCCCTACCTCCATGGTACCTGGAAAATTCCACCCTAGTAAGTAGACTCAGGGTGAGGACAGTGGCTGAGATGGCATGAATCATTGCAGCCTCCCTGAGATGTGGGGCACATGCTGGCAGAGAGGACAGAGTCAGAGCTAGAAGGGTGAGAACGAGCTCCCACTCTACAGATGGGCACTGAAGCCTAAGCGAAAGGGAGCCATGCGGTTGAAGAGGGCCTAGAGATGGGAGCTACAGAAGCTGCTGGGGTGGGAGCTGAGGACGCAGTGGCCTCCTCCCAGCCTCAGCCTGCTGTGGGGCCATGGCCAAGCCTCTGGCCTTCTCCAGGCTTCAGTCTCCCAGTCTGTACCCGAAGGCTGGAGGACAAGATGGGGAGTTTCTGGGAGCCCTCTCTTACCCTGCAAGGGATTAAGCTCCTGGCTCCTACTCTGCAAGCGGCTCACCCCCTCCTTCTGACAAACACTTGTAGGAAATCAGGCTGGGCGCTTCCTGCGAGGAGGCAGCGCCTGGGCCGCTCAGGGGCGGGGAGAGGTGGGGAGTGATGCTGCTCTGTGAGCCGCAGCTTGTGCTAGCAGAGCTGCCTGGAGGCGGGCCAGGGCTCAATGGAGGCAGGGGGCTCCCCACGATTGGAACAAAGGCCTCACAGCCAGGCCCCCTGAGCCCCGGCCAGAAGGGTGCTGGTGGAGCTGGAGCTAGGTAAGGAGCTGGGGACAGGGGAGGAGGGCCAGCTGGGAGGCCGCCTTCCCTCAGGGGGCCGGACCAGTCACAGACTCCGGACAGCCCAGCTCAGGCATCGGACCAGCCTGCTAGGAAGTCACCACTGCGCAGCTGTTCCACTTCTCTCCGGCTTGGCTTAGGGAAGCCCTGTCCCGGATGAGGGTGGATTTTAGGGGGATTTTGTCCAGCCTCAGGATGCTAGATTGCAGCCCCAGCTCGGATTCTGTTCTCTGGAGAACCTGGACAAGCAATGGTCCCTGTCTGGGCCGGGGGCATCCTCGGCTCATGGAGAATTAATGTTGTGGTTGCTAAGGGGACTCTGAGACATGCTGGGTGGGGCAGGGAGGCAGCGAGCGGGATCCCCCCTAGAATTGGCCCCTTCTGCCACTTAAGTGCAGGGACAAGGAGCAGGGGCTGGGGGAAGGTGGGGGCGTCTGAGGACCAGCAGGCCAGCTGGGCCCTTTGGGATGACGAGACCAAAATCTGAAACAACCTGAGCATCTATTCTCTTTCTCTTGGGAGCAGGGGCACATTGATGGGGGCTGAGGCTTTGGGTCAGGACCTCTGTCCCCTGCCAGTGGGTCAGGGCCAGGCCACTAGCCACTGAGTTCAGCAGCCCAGCCTTTTCGCAGGGCCCAGCCACTCGATATGGGGTCTTCCTTTCCCTTCTTCCTGCCCCTCACGAATCTGCCAGCCTTAGCTTTGGAATCACAGCACCCCAGCTTTGAATCCCCAGGCTGCATTTCCTGGCTGCGAGGTCTTGAGGTTCTGTGCCTCAGTTTCCTCATTTGGGAGATATCAGGGTGGGGTAGGCACGGGAGGGTGCCCCAGGGTGGGGCAGAAGCTGCTGTACTGGCAAGGGAGCTCCCTGGAGTCTGAGACACGGAGCCACAGAGGGGAGCATCCTGGGCTTTGCGGTGGCTGAGGGGGCAAAGATGCCCCCTTCTGGGTGGGGGTGGCCGGGAGAGGAGTCGGTCTCACTCAGGAACTGAGAAAGAACCACAGGGGTCAACTAGACCCTTGAGAGAGCAGGGGCTTGGCATGGATTGGGAGCAGATGGGGCCCAGAGCTTAGGGGACCTTAGTCCCAGTGGGCTCGGCTCCCAGCTCACATGGCCGGAGCCTTCCCCAGACCCCACTGCGGGGCTCTGGAGGCCGACTGGAGCCAGCCCGCCTTTGCCTGGCACTCAAGGGCCCTGCCTTTAGCTCCTCTTCAAGTTCTGTTTGTACTTAGACCCCCAGGCCTTTGCCTATGCTGTTCCTTCGACCTGGAATCCCCTTCCTCACGCTTCTCCCCCAAGCCCACTTTGTTTCCGGGGCGCTTCCTCAACCTTCCTTCTGGGTTGTACCCCTCCCTGCCATGTAGGATTTGGGAAGGCTTTTGCTCTTTTCTCTGTCCCTTGTGTCTTGAGTAGCAGTAAGAAGTCCTGGGGCTTTTCAGAAAGTTAATTTGCACCACTCAGTATATATCTTTGGTCCTCTGAAGTGTGACCCCAGGAAGGAGGAGGGGCTTGTTCAACTAAGAACTGTGCTGAAGTTCATTTAGCACAGCCCCTGCCTCCCACCTGCCCCAGTGGGCCGTCCCTCCCCACAGTAGCAAGGGCAGCTGCAGTTGTCTGCGTTTCCGCTGGGGATGGTGTCAGCCCAGCTACACATCACGAGCAGCAGCGGCAGCTCCCGGCCAGGAACCTGGTCCCTATCACAGCTTGGGCCCATCCTGAGTTTGGCACATGGTTGGTGCTAATGTGTGTTTGTTGACTGACTGGCTGACTGGCCAGTCCTGAGCTCCATGGCACTGTGGGCTGTGCTTACACGGAAGATGGAGATCTTGCCAGGAAGGGTTCACAGGTTCAGGGGCTTGGGGACACGAGTGCCTGGAAAACTGCATCCAGTGACCACAGCTGCTCTGACATGCAGTGTCGCTCTGTCGAAGTGAGATTTCTGCGATTTCTGAGTCATCCCAGGAGACAGGATGTTCCTCTTTGTGCTGGCAGAGGCCTCTGTGATTGGGCAGGCTGCTCTGTGGCAGGGCTAGAAAAAGCCTTTTTAAAAGTCAGAAAACCACACGCCCCCCCCCCCTCCCCAGGCCCCTTCCGCAGTGGCATTTCACGGAAAAGCAGAGGCTTCATCCTTAACCCTAGCACCTCCAACACCTGCCTCAGCAGCAGAGCCAGGAGAAGGTCCCCGAGCTGCTAAGCCCGGCTCTGCCTGAGGCCCTGGTTAAAATGCAGGTTTGACCCCGAGCCAGGGTCGAAGCATCTGCATGCCGGGAGGATTCTCAGCGCACTCAAGCTCAAGATCACGCCAAGCCAGGGGTTTCTAGGAGGGGAACATGCAGAGGGCAGGGGCAGTGAGGGCCAAAATGTGTACTGAAACAACTTCCATTGAATCTCTTCACATACTTACCTTTGGAAATTTTTTTTCTGCACTGGGGATTGAGCTCAGGCTTTGTGCCTGCTTGGCAAGCACTCTACCACGAGGTAACATCCCCAGCCCTTCTTTCATTTTATTTGAGCCTTTCTAACACATGTAATATATTAATCAGCACATGTTTATGCAGGGATAAGAAATATATGTATGCATGTGAGCCAATATATTTTTACTGCTGGGTTGCATGATTTTAAAAAGTTAGGAGAGTGCCAGGGCCAGGACTGATGATCACAGATCTTGTCCTGGCACCGATCCAGCAGGTGATCCTGGCTGACTCACTGTGCCCCTTGAGCCTCAGCAGAGAAGAGGACAGGATGGGAGACAGAGGAGAGGCCCTGAGTCCTGTGTCCAGAGCTGGGGTGTAGTCAGCAGGGAGTTACCACTGTCCCTACTCAGCCCTGGGGAAGCTGGCCTTTCCCGAGCCGCCTGGTTCCCTGGGGAACTCGGTGTCCAGAAATAGTTGCCTGCTGACTTTTCTCAACTGTACGAATCAAGGCTGCTGACCAGGAGCCAGGAGCTCACGAGGTGGAGGGACAAACACAGATTGTCTGTCTGCAGAGGACTTAGTTGTTCTCCACTTGGCTCAGGCTGTGGGTGGCGGGAGGCTGGCTTCCACCCCATCTGCCTGGCCCCTGTGTGGCTCTGGGCGAAGGCCTGCCCTCTCTGGGCCAGCATCAGAGGCCTCCCTGTGATCCCCCTCAGGGACGTGCTGTGTGTGCTTCTTTGAATCCTCTGTGGCTGGGAGCTCCTAGAGTGGGCTGTGCCCACAGCTTTGTCAGCTGTGTGTTTCCCAGCCTGGCACAGAGCTTGGCATAGAGGAAGTGCTGGGAAAGTGTTGGGAACAGCAGGAGAGGCGGAAGCAAAGGGAGATGAGAGGGGGGAGAGGAGAAGATGGGAGAAAGATCAAAGAGGACCCTTTCTCTGGCCAACCTTCCCTGCCACCAGAGTCCTTCCTAGTAGATCCATCTGCAGCCAGACTTCCTGTTCTCCTTCCCTCTCCCGAGCAGCAGAAAGCTGCTTGGCTCATGCGCTGGGCCTGGACAGGACCAGAGCAGCCTGCCTGGGGCTGCCCTCTGCTGTCCTTCACTCTCTGATGTCACTGTCCCTGCCCCTGGCCCCTTACCACAGTCCTTGGAAACTGCTTAGATGTCCAGGAAATCACCTGGTGGCATGGCTACCCCCACCTTTGCACGCACGGGTTCCCTTCCCCCTGTTTTTCTTTATGGATAAAATTCACATAACATAAAATTAACCACTTAAAAGGGAGCGAGTCAGTGACATTTAGCGCACAGTGTTGGATGAGCATTTCCCCTATCCATTCCAAGACATTTTCATCCCCCAAATGGAAACCCCATCCCCACGACACAGTTACAGACCCTCCTTCTGTCCCCCAGCCTCTGCCACCCACTGTATGCTTCCTGTCTGTGGAACTGCCTGGGGCTGCCATTGCCGGTGCAGGGAATTGTACACTTTGTGGCTTTCTGTGCGTGGCTTCTCTCATTTAGCATGATGCATTTCAGCTTCACCTCTATATAGCATGGGCCAGGACTTCTTTCCTTTTTGTTTCCTCCCTTCATTCCTTTTTATGGCCGAGTAACATTGCATTGTATGGTGACACACAAACTGTTTATCCGCTCATCTAGCGATAGACACTTGGGCTCTTTTTCCTTTTGGCTTCTGTGGACATGTGTGGACCCTGTATTTGTCTGAGCACCTGGGTTCGGTTATTTTTGGGGACTGGAATGATCTTTGTACCATTCCCTCACTCTCAACCCGAATTCTTACCCAAGGGGGGACAGCGAAGTTTCCCAGGGGAAATGGCTTCTTGGCTGGCTGCTTCCCTGATCTCCTTGGCCTGGGTTCCCTGGCCCCAGGCCTCCCTATCATTTGTAGCTGCTGGTTGTCTGTCTGTCACCCCCTCCCCAGGCCGTCACCTCTCCTGTGAGCAGGGCACACAGTGGCATCGGGCACACAGTGGCATCGGACACCTGCTGGTCAATGTGCCCATCACTGGGCACCTTATCCTGTGTCCCGGGCAGTTCTGTGAAACCCTGGGCAGGGAGAGGAGTTGTCATCTCAGTTTTACTGATGAAGCGAATGAAGCCCAAGTGACTTTGCCAGTCACACAGCTTGGGCGGGATGGAGCGGGCAGTCGAACCAGGACCATCTGATTCCTGAGACTTTGCTGGTAACTTGTTGTTCTGAATGAAGGAGCAGCCTCTGGGGTTAATGTTATCTACTGACCGTGTCCCTGCAGGCCTCAGGCAGGATGGCCAATGCCGAGCGGAGCTGGCGGTGACTCTGGGGCGCCCAGTAGCAGCTCTGTCTCCTGAGATGAAGTGGCCCAGGTAAACGCCAGGCCTGATGGCCAGCTCAGGGACAGAGGTGCGCTGGGCTCGGCCAGGCCTGGGGAAGGGACCCAGGCGGCGACGCTGGGCCTGGGCCCAGGAGCTGAAAGACGCAGATGGATGCAGCTCTCAAGGCTGGGGGGATGAGCGGGCCTTGCCAGGTGCCGCCAGCCCAGAGCTCCTGGAGGACTTCCACCTGGCCCAGCAGCACCCGACACCCCTGGAGTGGGACCCAGACCTGCAGGAGCCAGGAGGGCCCTCCAAAGAAGGTGAGGCTGACTCCCCCTACCCTATATGGTGTCCCATCCCCCGAATGCCCCACCTTACAGCAGAGGCAGGGGATTGGGAGAAGCTTTACATTTTAAAATTAAATTCTACCAAGCCCATAACTTAAAGTTTTTAAAGATTTCAGCTGTATAAATAATACTGTTCATTGAAAAAAACCCAGAAAATATAAGCAAAAGAGATAAAAATTTAAGAATTACTTATTATTCTATCCCCAGTAACCATTCTGTTGCACAGGTATAGATATGCAAATGTAATATGACTGTGAATATATGCTGCACTTTGTTGTCACATGCTCTTTTGTTAACTTCATAGATAGGAACACTTTCCCAGCTCCCCAGATATTCTCTGGAAAGTCACGCCTAATGCCTGCCTGCATACATAAATTGTTGGGCCAGTCTACTATTGCCGAGTATATAGTTAGCTCCTAGTTTTTGCTATTATAAATAATGCAGAGGAGGATGACATTAACACCTCTCTGCACACTTGGCTTGGTAATAACTTTGATCGTTTGAATTGTTTCATTTAGGGATTATGCCCATTTTACAGATTTTTTGAATTCCCATTTGGCAATGGGAATGTCGGCATTCCGTGTTCACTGCAATGACTGGACTCTGCATGGACAGCTCAGACCACCTCCCCAGCTCTGCCCGACAAATCACCTCTCCTCCCAGAGTCTTGCTTTCCCCCACTGGGAAATGGGAGTAGTAACTCCACTGAGAATAAGAGCTTGACAGGCGGGCACTACAGCTTTTAGATTAGGAATGAAATGTGCCTGTTTCCAGACCCCATGGATCAGCAGAGCCCATGCGGATCATAGAGAGACCGCTAGTCTGGCAGTGGATTGTCACATACCGCATGTCCTTCAAGCAGGGCTTGCCCCAGCTGCCCCCTTGGGAGCGTTTCTGAGCTCACCATCAGGGACCAGGGCTGAGAGGCACTAGTGGACAGGGCAGCCATGTCTCTTTCCGGAGTCACACTGTAACCCCTGCTATGATGCAGCAACTGCTCCAAGTCCCATGCCCTGTGTGCCCCACACAGGGCTGGGCGTGGTCATGCCTTCTTGCCCTCCCTCCACACCCTCCTCTCCAGGTAAGAGGGACTAGCCTCAAGTTTGAGACAGAACTGCCAGAGGTCAGCGGCTTGCCTATGGCCCCAGGGAGGGGTCAGGGGAGCTGGGGTGAACCAAGTGCTCCCTGGCTCTTCACCCCCTGCAAGACCCCCAGTGGTACAGACAGATTCACCTGCTTGGCCCTGGCTGGGTTCTAGGTCCAGGACTGCTCTGAACCACACTGTGATTTTTGGCAAGTTACTTAATGTCTCTGGGCTTCAGATATGCTGCTGTCAATGAGAATGACTTGCAGAAGGAGCTTTTTAGTCATTGAGGGATATAGAGGTGACCAGGGTAGGGGAAAGGACATGGCAGAGCAATGGGTGATGTAAGGATTAGGACAAGTCTGCACCTGATGCTACCCAGGTTGTCTCATCAAACTTGAGATCTTTCCCAGAGGCCAACACAGGATCTAGTACAGAGTAGGTAATGATATGTGTGACTGAGTGTGAGATGGACAGATGGGCAGATGAGTGAGTGGGCAGGTAATGGATGGGGAGTGGGTAGCTAGATGATAGAAGGATGGATGTGTGGGTGGCCGGATGGATGGATGCTTACACAGATGGATGGTTGGTAAATATTTCTTGAGCATCTACTCCATGACAATTACAATTCCCCATTTCTTGGGAGCTTGTTACACCTTCCTGCCTCCCTACTTTCCCTCTTTCTATTCAGTCAACAAATAATATTGAGTACCTACTCTGCAAATGCAATAGTGAGCCAAGCCAGCAGAAGTCCTCACTCTCCTGGCGCTTGCAGGTGTAGGCAAATATTAATGAATAATCAAGAGGGCAGCTGTCACAGTGACAAGTACTACAAAGTTGAGGTCTCCAGTCTCGAAAGAGTCTACATAAGGGAGAATGTGACCTAGTCAAGAAGCTCCCAAACCTTAGGAGGTCAAGGTTGAGCTAGCATCTGAGGGACAGATGGGGGCTCAATGGGTGGGGCTGCTGACTGAGGACTCAGCCCGTGCCTGTGCTTGTGGTAGGAGGGAAGGCATGCACATGGTAGGCTGGTGGAGGGAGAGACTGAGGGGGGCTACAGAGAGATGGATTCATGAGCTAATGGGCTCAGAGTGGCAGGGAGTGTAGGACCGTAGGAAAGGCTGGGCCTCTGCCCTGAGAACACCAGGAAGATACTGTTGAGTTTCCAGATGGGGATGAGGGTGGAGACTGAAGAGATGGTTAGATGGAGACTGCAGTGGTCCAGACACAAGAAGACACTGGCTTGAGCACAGGTGGGTGGTGGGCCTCAGAGCAATGAGTGAGTTTGAGAGCTCCATAGGCAGTAAATGTGATGGCGCCAGGTGACAAATTGGCTTAGGGGGACTAGGAGTGAGATCCCTCCCACACTTCTGTCTTGCAGAATGACATTGCCATTGGCTGATATGGGAGACACTGGGGGAGACGATATTTGAGGTTTAAGTTTAAAGGACCTTTGAGACCATAGAAGAGGCATCATATAAGTATTTGGCTGTTCAGGGGCTCCTCATGCTTCTTGCCATTGTCATGTGAGGAGCAAATGAAGCCAGAATCGAGGTGACTTGGGGTAACTTCGCACAGTGAGGCCAGACCCAGTGCATGCTAAATGAATGACCTGTCTTTGCAGAGATTGAAGCAGAGGATGTGGGCAGCCCAGAAGATGTGGGCAGCCCAGAAGATGTGGACAGCCCAGAAGGTTCTCCCCTGCCTCTCAGCTGGCCCTCTCAGCAAGACCATCAATTGAACATGACCAAAGAGGAGCCAGATGCGGCCCCCGAAAGTCCTGAGGTTGAGGAAGCTGGAGAGAGCTCCCCAAGGTTGAGGTGTAAGTCCAGTCCCAGCTCAGAGGACAATGAAAACACCAGCCCCATGGCTCTGGGGTGGGGTCAGGCCAGAGGCTGGGTGGCCTCTAGCAAAGCAGCCAATGGCAACGAGCCTTCGGAACATTCTGAGGTCAACCCATCTGTGGAACTCAGCTTGGCCAGGTCCTGGAGCAGTGGGACTGTGAGCCTCGGCCATCCTAGTGACAGCCTTGATTCTACCTGGGAAGGAGAGACTGATGTCCCCCCGTCTACTTCCCTGGCAGAAACCCTGCCACAGGGGCCCAGCCACCACCTCCTACACCGGGATGACAGAATTGGACACAGTGTGGCCCAGCTGACACCCACGGAATTCCAGCACACCTCAGCTCCCCCAGCCCAGAGCTCCCAGTGCGCTGCAGGTAGATGGACGACAGACCCTACCAGCCTGCCCAGCTTGAAGCTCAAGGACCAAGCCTGGAAGCGGACAAAGATATCACCTAAGCCACTGCCCTCCCGATTCACTGGCTCCCACAGCCCCCTGAATTCTCGGCCTAGAGCAGCCGAGAAGGACAGATTGCAGCCTGGCCAGGGGGCTACTCCGGCTGGCCGCTCCTCTTCTGATGCCCCCAGATATGGCCAGGGGTGTCTGAACTACCCACTTCCTGATTTCTCCAAGGTGGGGCCCCGGGTAAGGTTCCCCAAAGATGAGAGCTACCGACCCCCCAAGTCCAAGAGCCACAAAAGGCAGCCTCAGGCCTCTGTTGGACCCCTGATCTTCAAGTCTCCGGCCGAGATTGTGCGGGAGGTGCTGCTGAGCAGTGGAGAAGTGTCCCTGGCCAAGGGCCCACCCCCTGCCCATCCAGTCACCAGGGTACCCCAGGAATTTCAGACACCTGAACAAGCCACAGAGCTCATCCATCAGCTCCAGGTGAGCGGGACTGTGGTCCCTGGGTGTGTTGGCCTAGCATGGAGACAGGCCAGGGTAGGAGGCCTTGGGTCTAGGCCAGGCCAGGAGCCCCCTGCTGGTGGAGGGAGGGTTGTCAGGAGCAAGGAGACCCTAACAGAAGGTCCTAACTCAAAATAAGTGGTGATTGGGCTCAGGTTTCAAGGATGCTCCGTTTCCAACTTCTGTGAAAAAATTCAAACATGTTCAGGATAGCAAATAGTATAATGATTGCCCACCCCAACCCACCTTCAAGCTGAGCAGCCCCTGGCTGCCTTTTCACTTCTGCCTGACCTCTTTCCCTGGGCCCCCCAATGGATTATTTTGAAGCAGTATCTCAGGCATTCCATCATTTTATATTTTAGTGTGTCTAAAAGTAAAGACCTGGGCCAGGGATTTAGCTCAGTGGTTCTGCCGCCTGCCTCAAAAGTGCAAGGTCCTGAGTTCGATCCCTGGTACTCCCCCCCCAAAAATTGATATAAAGATATAAAGATAAAGACCTTATCTCAAACAGCCACAATAACACTACCACACCTAAAAGCTAACGCTACTGTATTATCAAATTCCGGGATGGCGCTTGGACCTCAGCATGCGCCTGTCTCACTGATGGTGTGTTCCTCCCTGTTTGAATCAGGATCTGAATCCGGCTGTGGCGGAACCACTGAGCTAGATCCCTGGCCCAATCCATGTGCCTCTAAGTCCCTGCTCTCCCTTTCTCTTTTCTTTTGTTGTTTTAATGTTTCTGTTTTGGTCTGCTTTGCACTTCTTTTCGATCTCTTTTCTGTCTCCTCCTCTTACCTCGTCCTGTAACTGATGGTTGAGACCAGCTCTGCCCTGCAGAGTCCTCCTGTCCTCTCTTCCCTTTCCCGGGGTAGGATTAGAGCGAGAGTGTCCTTGGGTTATGGCCCTCTGTATGTGTGAGTCTTTCCTCTCTGGACCACGAGCTCCACAGACATCACAGGTGGCCCCTTGAGGAGGCACCGACCCTGCAGAACTGTTGGTTACAATATGCACGGCCCCTGGTGGCCATTGCCCCAATCCAGTTTTCATTTGGGGTGACAAAATGGCAGTATTCTGATGTAATTCAGGCTGGCATTGAACTCACTATGTAGCCCAGGCTGGCCTCAAACTCACTGTGATCCTCCTGCCTCGGCTTCCCGATTGCTGGGATTACAGGTGTGCACCACTGTCCCCGGCCATTAAAAACACTTCTAAAGCACATACCACATGAGCAATGGGAAGAATGCTTTGGAAAGGAAGGGTGCCATGAGAAGGGTGGATGTGACCAAAGCCCAAAGAGCCTGTAGATGGACAGGAGTTTGGGCAGATACGGAAATGCCTCCGGATGGCTTCTTCCTCTCTGAAGAAGCCAGAAGCCCCCCAGGTCAGGGCTGCCAGCAAGGGGAACGCTGCGTGCCCGGGATGACCACCTTGCTCTCTGCTCCCACAGGAGGACTACCACAGGCTCCTCACCAAGTATGCCGAGGCCGAGAACACCATTGACCAGCTGCGCCTCAGGGCCAAGGTACTGGGCTGGGCCAGACCCCTGAAGGTGGCTTTTTTTCCCTAGTCCTAGGGAGAGGTCACTACCTTCTGCATCTGCAGAGCTCCAGTCCTCGTTCTACCCAAGGTCTCCCTGTGACCTCGGGCTGGGCTTGCCCTCTCTGGATTGTGTTTCCCTTACTTTGGAAATATTTTGGAATGCTAGAATCTGGGGTCCCCAGGAGTTTCACTAGCACTTTCTCCTAGTTAGACTCTGGGATTAGACCACCTGGGCTCAAGTCCTGACTCCGTTACTAACCAGCTGTGTGTCCCTAGGAGGAGATGGGCCCTCTCTGGGCCTGGAGGCAGCAGCACAGAATTTCTGATAAGCCCCTGGCGCTGCACCCTGGGCCCGTCTTTGCCTGTGTATTTCGCCGTCTCCCCCCTAGCCTCTCCCCGTGTGTGTGGCAGGAGGGGTGGGCAGTCCACCACCCAGCCATCTTGCTCAGAGGCTGTGCATGTGCACTTGAGACCTTCCTCTTTCTGGGTGAGCCAGGAAGTGGAACCTGTGGGAGCCCCTGCAGCTTCCTGCTTTCCCCATACCCCCTTCCCCTTCCCCTTCAGGCAGCTGTGGAGGAGGGCTGGTGGCTTGGGCTGCCTTCCTTCTCACAGGGCCCTCCCACCTTCCTAGTCTGGCCCACCGTGCCATACCCCAGGCCCCTGCCAAGTGCTGCTCTCAACGTCTAGAGGCTCTTCCAGGGAGTGAGGGTGGGGCAGCCATAGTGAGAACATGGAAGGGGCCCTGTACTGGGATCCTCCTGCCTCAGCCTCCCAGAGTGCTGGGATTACAGGCCTGCACCACCACATGGAGGCCTGTCCTGGGACCAGGAATGTTCCTCTGTCCCCATACCTGCCACCCACTGGGCATGTCTGTGAGAGGAGCTTCCTCAGACCTTCCCCCGGAAGCCCAAGACCTTGACTTCTTATGAGGTCTCCTTACAGTGCTCAGAAGCACTGAGCCAGAGCTGGGGATGGCCCGGAACCCAGGGCAGGGGAGGGCAGGGGAGGGCTGGGTGAGGTGTCCTTTGGGAAAGCCAGCTCGTTGTCTTGGAATCCCCAAAGGTCAGAGGAGAAAGGGGCTGGGCATGGGCCCCAAACCCTTGAGCAACCCCATTTCAGATTGGGAAACTGGGCCCCAGCTGAGGTTAGGGCTGCGAAAAGGCAGGGAGCCCTCAAAGGTCAGGAGGGGTAGGTAGGGCTGCAGCACCTCCACCTCCATCCTCCCTCCTGCTTACTGGCTGGTGCATGCCAGGTGCCTCACACGAGTGGGACGTTACTGGTGTAAAGGTGTGCGCTGATGCCCTGTGCTGGCACAGGCACAGGCCACATGGATACCTGGGAGAGACGGGGCCCAGGCGTGGGGAGCCCCCATGGGACCTGGGTGGCCCAGCTGGTGCCCAGAGCCCAGCTCGTGTGTGAAGGGCTGGGGAGAGGCTGGAATAGGCTCAGCAGAGCCAGCTCCCCACTCCGCTTCCTCGGGGAAGGGACACAGCTGCAAGCAGGGCCACATTCTGCGGGCCCCATCTTATTGCTGCTGCCCTAGGGGAGCATAGACAGGGCCCCGGAGCGAGAAAAGGCTGTACCCCAGGTCCCACAGGCCCAAGGGAACCCAGGAGTCCTTGCTCTGGAGGCCTTGCCCTCACTCAGGGGACCCCAGAAGGCCGCCTGCCCAGACCCCTTGTCAGCAAGCCCATTCCCGAGATGTTCCTCAGAGTGAATAGGCCTGACCGTCCAGGGACCTCCTGAGCCCCTCCGGCCTGCTCAGACCCCACTGGAGGCTGGCCCACCTGGGAGGCAGTCAGGCCCAAGTCAGGCCTGGGAGAGCAGCGACAGGTAGGGGCCATAGGAAGGAGACATTGCTGAGCTGTTCAGAGGTGCCGGCCCAGGCCACTGTCATCTCTCCGGATCCCCTGTACCTGCAGATGCTAAGGCTGAGCCAGGTGGGTTTGCTCAGCCTCCTGCACCCCTGTGAGAGGTGGGGACTGTTGGTTGCCCATGGGCGCTCCTTCCTAGGCCTGGGTACTTCCGGTCTGGTGCCCTATGGGTCACAGGATGGGAATGGCAGGTAGTGATGTTGGTTGACTGCTGCTCAAAGTGGTTACAGCTGGGCATTGGGACTTCAGACAACTTGCCCAGGATCACTCAACACGTAGGCACCAGGGCCGGAGCTTGGGCCTAAAACTGGCTGCAGGGCCCACTCTTCACATCCCACTGCAGGCAAGAGACGAAATGTCTGCAGGATCTGCAGCCAGGAACGCTGACCAAGGCCCTGCCTGAGAACACAGCAGACCCAGGGTGGGAACCCAGGGCAGGACCAGGGAGCCCCCGGGCGTGGGAGGTGCAGGGCAGGGACCCAGGATCAGTCAGGGGTCACTGGCGGGTCTGATCTCTGTGCAGGCCTCTGGCCAGTTTGTGGTGATGTCACCACATTTGCTACCATGTTACCACCTCCCCCAGCCCCTGTTCTTTCCTCTGAGCTGCAGGGGGTTGGCAGGGGGTTGTGGGAAGACTGAGGAGACTGGAAGTTACCCCGGAAGGAACTGAGTGGGTGACACAAGACCACCTTTCCCAAAGTGCTTTCTGACTGCCCCACTTGGTTCAGACGCCCCTGGTGCCTGGGGATGGGGTTCAGGGAGGCTTCTGTGTTTTGTGTTGTGTTGTGAGCTGCAGAAACCCTCCCTCCTCTCTCCTCTTCCCCTCCTGCCCCATTCATAGTGCCCATTAGCATTTTAAAGGATGTGAGAAGCCCATCTGTGCAGAGAATACTCATTTGTTTAACCCAGTGTTTCCCTGCTCCCTCCTGCCCAGAATCCCCAAGGAAGCCAATCCAGCACAGGGACACTGCCGTGGACACCCTGGCTTAAAAGGGGTGCTCTAGCCCCAGGGGTGGGTCCAGCTGTGTCCAGGGAGGGCAGGCCTGAGCAGCTCGCAGCTGCCACCCTCTGCCACCACCGGTTTCTCTGAGCATCCGCCCAGGCCTTGGGCCCCTCTGCTTCAAGCTTCTCTTTTCTTTGGTCCTGCAACAGAGGGATCGGCCTCTGACCCCCTGAGCCTGTCTCCACCTGCTGCCAGTTTCCCACTGCTGCCCAGGTGGGGCCTGGGGCTGAGGGAGGGGCGGGGCCTCCCCTGGGATTTGGGTCACCTGGGGCAGAGAGGGGTGCTAATGGGCAGCCTCCCACAGGCAGGTCTGAGCAGATGGCCAAAGGGATTATTAAAATTCAGCTTTGTTCTCATCTGGTGAGGCTCAGCAGCAGGAGGAGGAGAAGGAGGCAGTGGAGCCAAGTGGCACTTGGCATACATTTTTCTGGGTCCTGGGTCCTGAAGAACAGTGTACATGGGAGAAGCTGCTTGCTGGGCACCCAGGAGTCCCTCGGCCAGCCCGTGCTTTGCTGCTTGGTCCTGACCTTGGGGCTGCAGGGGGTGGACAGGATAACCTCCCTGATGTCATAATGAGGCCGAGTCACGGAAGAGAGCGTGGCTTTTCCGTGGAGCTGCCTCCATGGTGTTCAGAGAAGTGATAATAGTGATGATGATGGGGATGATGGTGCTGATGGTGTTGTGGATGGTGGCGACTGTGACACAGTGATGACAGTTAGGGTGGTGATGGTTGGTGGCAGGTAGGGATGGTAGTGATGCTGATGGTGGTGGTGGTGACGATGAAAGTGAAGGTGGTGGCTGCTGTTCGTTGAGCACTTGCATCGTGCCCACAGTATTAGCTACACGAGCTGCTCCAGGACTCAGGTGTGTGGCAGTAGAGGCAGTAGAGCCTGGTGGGAACCCAGGCCTTGACTGCAGGGCCTACCCCTAAGCTAGGCCTGGCAAACTCGATAAAGGGTCAGACACAGTCTTTTCAGCCTTCTGGCACCTCTGGTCTCTGCTGCAGCTCCTCAGCTCTGCTACTGCGGAGCAAAAGCAGCTGTAGACGACACCTGGACAAACAGGTGCAGCTGTGTCCAGGGACACTGTGTTTACAAGAGCAGACCAGGGTCCCGGCCTCTGCTCTCAGCCGTGCAGGGAGCAAAGGCTTCTGCTACTCACCAGTCTTGCTGTCTCACTCCAGACTTCTCTCTTACAAAGCTGCTGCTCGCTGTGTTCAATCCATCCTCAAATGATGGACAACCACGACCAGGGGTACTCGTGTGTCTACTTGGCGGCTCTTTCATTCATTCAGGCAGCCATCCGTGGCTGTTTATTATCAATATAATAATTCTTATTGGAAATATTTTACTTTTATTAAGAAATAGTAATTATAATGATTTGCTATGTATTATATAATAATAGGATTACCTCATAACAAATATTATAGTTAACAATTGTTAATACTAGAAAAACCATGAGCTTTGGGGTCAGATAGAGAAGTGTTATGATCATAATCCAAACACTTATCAGCTGGAGATTCTGATTCAGTGCCTTAACCTCTCTGAGTCTTAGTTTTCTCTTCTGAAAAATGGGGCTGATGGTCCCTGCCCTCCCTGGCTTTCAAGACAGCCATAGAGAAAGCAAAGGCACATAAACTCTTCCCATCCCCCCAGGGCTCAGACCCCCAAGGACCCCACTAAAGGCCGGGATCTGTTACCAGAAGACTGCTCTCCGAGCTGTGATGAAGAGAGGACTTTCGGGTGGGTTTCCCACCCTGACCTGGCTTCACCTGCTGCCCCTGCCACAGGTGAACCTGTACACGGACCCGCCCCAGCCCAGCCACAGCATCCACACGGGGACGGTGCCTCAGGGAACCAAGGTCTTGTCCTTCACCATCCCGCAGCCCCGCTCAGTGGAGTGGAGGTCCAGCCCCACCACGGAGCCCCGAGCAGCAGAGGCTGCAGGTGAGTCTGGAAGGAAGTTACTTCCTGCTGGCGTTCTCTGGGAGCCTTGGTCAGCCTGGGCCAGGGAGGACAGGCTGCTCCCTGGGCCCTGTGACATGAAGAAGTCAGGTAGGCGTGGAAAGGGTCCTGCATGGGCCAGAGCACCCCACTGGGCCCTGGCTGTGCCCCTGGGCCTGTGGGTGATGTGGGGGGGGGGGTGATGACGGTGTCCTTGTGGGGCCCGTTCTGTGGCCGCCCTGCAGTCAGGGTGCCACCGGGATGTGGTCACAGTTTAATCCCCCCCTGACCTGGTGAGTGATGCACTGCTGTCACCCTGTGACCCTGAGGAGGCCAGGGCTGAAGGTCACCCAGTGACGAAGGGAAGGGTTGGGACTGGGTCCCACCTGTCCCCGAGTTCAGTCCTTGTCCCCCAAGTCCCACGCCTGTGTCTTCTAGGGCGGCTGGCGGCCCAAGGAGAGCTGAGCCCCTCCTTGAACCCCGACATGCCCACCCCGGGGGGGCTTCCAGAGAGCCAGGGCACTGCCCCCATCCAGCCCTCCTCAGAGTGGACCCGGGTGCTGGCTTCTCAGGCCAGTCGGCTCCTAGCCAAGGTGAGTGGGACACTGCTCTGCCCCGGGAGGCACAGCTGACATGTGGGCACCAGGCTGTCACCTCCCAGCCCTGTACTGAGGTTGGGCAGCTGGCTCGAAATACGAGTCTCTCCCTGGACCTTAGGGCTCCACAACTCCTCCTCCTGCTCCTCCTGCTCCTCCTCCTCCTGCTGCTCCCCCTCCTGCTCCTCCTCCTCCTGCTGCTCCTCCTCCTGCTCCTCCTGCTCTTGCTGCTCCTCCTCCTCCT